GTGTGCTCTATTTGAGACTTACTGAAACTCGCCTCTCAAACTCTGGCAAAAAAAATTAAAATGTGATCACAATTCCTGTAAAACGAGAGCCTAACAGCCATCACGGCCAGCAGAGTTCTCCAATTTTGTCACAAAAGCTTTGCCTCACCCTGTTATTTGGAGGATTTTTATCAGGCGGCTGGTTCTGATCCCAACGTTTTTTAACCCTTTAAGTCCCAAGAGTGATTAAAGTCAAATTTCTCCTGGCAATGTCAATACATAATCAAGAGAAAATGTTGTGGGAATTGATAAAATGATCACCAGGGCCGAGTTGTTCAAAGCTGGGTTAAGATAACCTAGGGTTAGTGCGAGATTTGAATTCAGATTTGAAAGCTTACAAAGCATTTCAGTTTTAATTCTTTTTGTCTACAAGTTGATAACTGCAAGCTCTAAAAATAGCACGGAAAATTGTCCGAGAAAATGCTTTTGAACACAAGAAAAAGAAACCCGGGTTAAATTTAACCCCGGGTTAAGCGCTAATCGGCCTTCGAACAACTGGACCCTGATGGGAAAAGCTTTGATCAGCAAACAAATTCTCTCAACTAATTCTTTAAGGAAATGTATGGAGATCAGTCTGGAGAATTTGTATTTGGATATTGGGGTTAAAAGCGGTGAAGAGGTGGAGAAAAGCATGCTATTTTTGGTGGCATTTTTGGTCAAGTAAAACGGGAAGTATTTTTAACATTTAAGCCGAACATGCAATTAACTTTATAATCAATCGGATCTCGACTCGCTTTAAAACAAGTTTTCCCGAATCCCGCATAGTAAAATTTCATAAATCCCGTATCCCGTTGATTATTATATTTCTGGATCTCGCTCGTCCCTCTAGCTCTAAAATCCCGAATCGCAAAGCTAACTCCTGGATCAGTCACAAATTTGTGATATTCATAAGCCTTGATTTAAACTTCTTCAAGAATCATCAATAAATCAGGAAGCCATACCAAGCTTAAGGAACAGTGCTGGATAGTGTATCCAAACATGCCAAAGCATCCTATCTTAAAGCCATTTTTTTCAATAAACCAATCCAATCCTAAAGACTGAACGATTCCTGTTTCCAAAGAATAATGACAAAGGAAAAATGTAAATGCACAGTATACCCACGCTCTGAATTGATTTTATTACATATTTTTTTAAGTACAAAACCACATATCTGTTCTAAATATCCATATATACAAAAGTGTATCAAACGTTGTTTTTCTTTTTACAAAAATATCATCTACCATTCGTACAATTCTTACAGTGCACTCTAACACTACAATGCTAACCTAGAAACAGCAATGTTGCTTTTTTCCTTGTTTGTACTAGGAATTTTACTATAGAGATAGTAAATCAAGTCCTTGCATAGAGGTCCGTTGAGAGATAAGCAATATGCGATGAGACACCGAGTTTAGTTTCCTCGCATCAATACTCAGCTAGAAACAACTTAAGCCCAACAGACCAGTTTCGAACGTTGAAAATTCTCCTATATTCCTACTTTCCTTCGAGGCTGAGGGGTATAAAATAAAAGAAATTGCATTGAGACCTATGGATGAGTAATTAATTTCTTTTATTATATTTCCCTCGTCAGCCTCGGAGCCAAGTATGAATTTTCAGAGTTCGAAACTGACCTATTACCGTTGTAACTCGGCAATTCTGGCAAATGAACTACCTAACTGTTCACAACACTCAAAATGATATGAAAAGTTGAATACGCTCAATTAACAGGTTTTTTCATGACTAGTCATATAGTTTTACGTGCGAGTACGTAGTCCGTGACGATAAATAGCGATTTGGCGTGGAAATCATTCATTCTTGCTCAGTTTTCAGCTGAGCCACTCAGGGGTGGATGACCCACCCTCGAAACCCAAAATCGCGCGGGTCACATTAGTAACATCCCCTAAGCTAATCTATCCCAGCTTGGCTTAGTCCTCTGATCAATTTTTTTTCCTGTACCTAAATACAAATGTGCATGAATACGAATGTTGTTGAATAGATTACTATCTAAGTTAAATTTACTAGAGGTGTTAAGGAAACCAAGGTTTGTTCGCCTGTGTGTTATGGTGTAGGTATTGTTCAGTGTCCTTTCAATAGGCCATTTCCGAGTTCCGAAAAATCTCACTTTCAAAACGAGGCTAAGTGCGAAATTTTTGTTGTGAAAATGAGTTTTTATTTGCATCACAACGAAGAATAATTTTTATATCAATGGCTTCGCACTTAGCCTCGCTTTGAAAGTGAGATTTTTTGGAACTCGGAAATGGCCTATTCTTGGTTTGCAACCACGTGACAAAGTCAACACAATAGAATTTTTCTACAAGAATTTACATGGGAATAGATTTTAGTTCCCAGAGTGGAGAAATGCTTCTGTTCTTGACCACCAACATGGCCGTCGTGACGTCACGTGGAAACCAACAATTACGTAATTATAGATTCTAGGCTATTGTCCCTAAAAATGATAAGAATATCATAGTCTAGTCTGCTACACAGCCGTTTTTAGTGTCGTCACGCAACGCTGCTCCCCACAAACTAAAAAAATTGAAATAGATCCACAGCGCCACTTATTTTCTTGACTACAAATAGTCCCCCTGTTTCATTGCTAGTTTGGCAGTCAGCGATGTTCATTCGCTGTCCTACTATACCTGTATCATCGAAGACTTAAACTAATCCGGAAGGAATATCCACGGGTAAAATACTTTCTGGCAAAGTTTTCAACAATATAACGGATGAGCAACCGGGGACTAATTCCTAGCGAACCAGTTTTAGAAGCACTTGAATTTCTTGCTTATGATTGGACAGTAGCTATTTTCTGTCCAATCAGAAGTAGGTAATTCAAATGCTTCAGGAACTGGTTTAGTAAAAGTAAGTCTCTAGAGGCTTTCCTATTGTTTTAAACTTTGCGGCCAACTCGCCCATAAATATCTCTCATAAATATCTCCCATGACCCAGCTACCCTTAGAGCTTCGAGGACGATTTCCCTTAGTAATATAAGGGACTACTCGTAATATACTGATCGCCTAGCGTCCCACTTGGAGGTTCTTTTGGCTCGTCACGCAATCCTCCCCAACGTTCGTGGGGAAAGAACGCGTGACGAGGCCCTAAGAACGTCGGCCCTGGGAGGCTACTTATTGTCCACCGCGGTATAAGTTATACATCGTTCAAGAGAGGATATCCTCTCCCCTTTCGTTTAAATAACCGACCCGCGAGGTTGCCCACTTGAGTTTAAAGTTTTGCCTTCGTTACTATCCAGTTACTTGCGCATGAAGGGAAGAAGACATTAATGTTTGGTGATCCTCTGTAAATGTTAGTCTAGGGGTCAGGAGGGCTGAGTGGGCAGTTTACCAGAATCTCCCTCTCCCCCCCGTCCCCCTTACGACATCCACCAGGTTTAAATGATCTGAATTCATATAAAAAATTAAATAAGCAGTCTAAGTATTATACAGTTCTTAACCAAGATTGATCGTGTTCCTTCTTATTGCCTTTCTGTGCATTTGGGGCTCAAATCTGTATATTCCAGCCGTTGACAGAAAATTTGTGGCACTACCTTTGCTCAACTGGTCTCGATTTTCTCGCTCTTTCAAGCGTTTACTTGTCTCAGCAGGAGCAACGATAAATTGGCTTTTGGTTCTGGCGTAGATATATACAAGCTGTGGACGGTAAACGGAGGATCGCGCTTTCACAGCCTCGCATTGTCTTTCGTTTAAACACGTCACAGAAAAACAATTATTTTTAAGTAGAAATGCCACGTCACAAGTCTTTGAGATGCAACAAATCTCAACGCATGCCTGGATGCTGGGGACTTTACCGCGATCCCGAAAGCGTCCCGCAGCGATCCCGCCACGAAGTGTGACGTTAGTCATTACTTCACTATTTGTACAATAGCCCTCTTCTTTGGTGTCCAGTTGTTCTTCAGTAGTGCTATTTACCTCGTCTTGTGTTTCAGCTTTGGTTTGAAGGAGCTCTGAAAGAAAGATAGTTTTGTCAAGGGCATAGATCTCAGGCTTAACCCCTATATTGCTTTGTCTTTGAGGGATTGATCGTCATAGTGATCGGCATGAAGATTGTCCTTGCAATATATATTGCTAATTAAAAAATCAGGGAGGTACTATGAAAAACATATTTCTTAAGTTTAATTCCCCTGATATTTTATTATTATTATTATTATTATCAGGGGCGGATCCAGAATTTTTTTTAGGAGGGGGTGCACTCGTCTCTTGCTCGACTTCAACACCAATAAATCACATAGTTTTTTTGAATACCAGTTGTATGAGAAAACCGCAGGTCATCTCAGGGGGGGGTGCGCACCCCCTGCACCCTCCCCCTAGATCCGCCCCTGATTATTATTATTTTCACGTCTACAGCAACAATAATACTTTGGGAGGAAGATATATGCGAGTTTGCTTTTCGATCATTTTGGAAGAAGTGCTTAGAGGTGGCAGAGTATCACCGAGAAACTCACTTTCAGTGTGTCTTCACTAAAAATTCTGTGGCCAGGGTATGTGTGATAAGTGAACTTTTCGTTTCTATCACCATAGCTTTGCTCAGTTCCCCTAGCACTTATGGTATTTCCGTAGTTAATTATTAGTTCACCGTTACCCTGGGTGCCAGAAGCTTTTCATGCACGGTTGCTTTTTCTCGCGGCTTCGCCGCTCGTGTCTTCAGCCTTCGGCCAAAGACGAGTCGGCCTGTGGCCGACGAAGCTCCTCGTCGGACGCGAGAAAAAAACCTTTGGTACCCAGGGTACGAAACGCTGGGCTATTTGAGAGATTTAGAGTACCGCTTACGGCAAAATGCAAACGTGAATTTGTACCACGTGTCCAAGTTTTCCCTTTACTTTTCTACCCCAAAATTAGTAGCTTTACGTTGGTTTTGTTCTATAATAATTGTCTTGGACTGTTTTTATTTGTTTATTTTCTATTTTGAGAAATTCTGAACTTGAATCTGACGTTGTCCGTCTGCGTAAAAGCGAGTCTAAATGACATAAAATCTCTCTATTGTCTCTGCAAACTAAACCACGCAGACATGACATGCTAACGAAAAATACAGACTTTCCGTTTACCCATCTGATTGAAAGGTTTAGCTCCAACTCCCGCTACATAAAATCACACACAACCCATAATTTTATCTCCTAATTTGCTCTGACGGAGAGATAATAAAAATAATAATAAAAGCTTTATTCATACTGAAGATATCTATCAGCATTTATACAACGCTGGTCCTAACAAGATGTCCACTAAATAAAATTTATAATAATCTTATCCTAAAACGATAGCGCCCCAAACGTCAGGTTCTCAATCTCTTACACCAACGGAACACCACAATTCCGTTACAAGCTAGCCTCTTCATCCAATTGTTGCATGATCCCTTATCCCTGTTCCCAGTTCCCTCCTTTTAGTAACATCCTCACCTTTTTTAGCCTGGCTTTCAACGTCTCTCCTGACGTAAGACAGCCTGGGGTAAAAATCAGACGATGGTGCCGGCACCTCTTCACACAACTCCTCACTTGCGCACGTGATTGAGTAGCACGAATCTCGCAGCATCAGTGCGATATCACACGTGTTACGCTTGCAGCATAAGTTCACGCACGCTTCCATGCCGTCCACATGTCCTATAGGCGTAAACTTACCAGCGGAGAGTCCACCACGCAGAGTGACGTCATATGAAATGACACTTGGTCTGCAAGACATACCGTCTCCTATTGCGATCTTTTGAGGAAGAACTGTGAAGATAATACAGATTTGTGTTAGTGTTATAAACTCTATTCTTGCATCTAACGTCTGTTCGACACAGTATTTTTAATGTGATATCATAATACAACGTTGCCTATGTGGGATGATATTACATCACCGGTTTTCCACATGGCACTTTCTTTTTGCTTCCACTTAAAATTGATTTAGGTGTGAGAAATTATTACGAAATAATCTCCAAGAGGGACTGGCAGGGGAAGGGTTGGTGGATCAATTGGATCATTTTACGTATCTGGGTAACTGACTACCTACCCTTCCCCTAAACCAACATTAACAGTTACTTCTCACATAGGCAAAATGTTGATTTAGGGGATGGGTAGGCGGTCAGTTAACCAGAACTGTATAATGATCCGATCAATTTAGGTTTCTGGGCAACTTCCCACCCCCCCCTCCTCTAAGCCAAAATTTTGCCCTAAGCGAGAAGTAAGTGCTAATGTTGGCTTAGGGGAGGGGTAGGTGGGCAGTTTCCTGGAAACCTAAGTTGATCCGACGGTCGGGGTAAGGTTGTTTGCACGGGAAATAAGAATATAGGTCAACAACGCGCTTGGTGTTCCCTGTAAGCCTTTGCAGGAGATTTTCACGTCCTACATACCTTCTTCATCTCTGGCTGTTATATACGATAGTTTAGGGCTCAAATTTGTCAGCAGACCCGACTTTCGGGCTAGCACAGGCTGACATAAGTCTTCATTATAACAATTCACAGCATAGCAGTTCGCTTCTAACATAAATGCTACATCGCAGTCCTTTCTGCCACAACACATGCGAATACATGTTGACATTTCCGCGATTTTCCCCAAATCCGTAAAATTCCCGGCTTTGATTCCTCCTTTCAGCGTGGAGTTATGTTTTATATCACTGTTTTTGCATATCAACTTTGAGTTTGTTGCTGGGAGGTTGCTTAAAGTGATAGCTACAAAGAAATAAACATGTTTGAGAAACTTATTAAAAATTAAAACTCAAAAGGCAAAAAGTACCGTATTTATTTTATTAAGCTCCGCGGGCGTTTATTACATTTTTAGCGTTTTCGATGCGGCGTTTATTCAAGGGCAACATTTACTCGAGGGCGGCGTTTTTTTTTTGTCAAAATCGCATGTCTTAAATAATGCACTGATAATAATTACGATCAACCGTTTGCTAATAATATGTAAAACAAAGATGTTTCAGGTTCCAGAGTCTCGCCTTTTTTTGCTGAAATAGAGTCGCGTATTCTTTGAGGGGTCACTCGAGGGGGCAATACGACTTAGAGCAACGACTTTGTATGGAAGGGAGAGAGGGGTGAATGCTTTATCTCTTAGATGGTGACTAGCAGCGATTTTAACAGGAAAAAGGCCAGTTCTTTGTCGGAGTCTCTAAACATTTCTGCAACTCAGTGGCGGATCCAGGAGAGGGGCCTGGTGGGCCCGTCCCCCTTTATTTTTAGACCAATGATGAGGCCTTAATGACCGAAAAAAAATTTTTGGAGACCACCCCCCCCCTCCCCCCCTTATCTGCCAACTGGTTGTAGCATTCACCTTCAAGGCTGATCCACACATACCTGTATCCTCGGTCACGTTAGTGACCCATCGTCGTACAAATGCCACCGTTGGTCGATAATTCTTGGTCTCGGTTTTGACCGTCTTGCAAAGCTCCTTGCTAAAACAGTTCACAAGAAAGCAATGTCCGTTTATTAACATCGCTAAGTTACATCTCTCAGACACACAACAGAGCCGAGTACAGGAGTCGATACTTTCTACTGTACCAACATCTGTGAAATTTCCCGCTTTAAGCCCTCCTTTCAACGTAACGCCTTCTTCTGCTTCGGTCTCTGTGCATTTAAGATTCTGTGGAACTGGGTGAGAACGGCGGCTGTACCCTGTAAGCAAAAGTAAAGATGAGGCAGTGTCACTAGCACTTAGAAATAGTTACAGATCGCCCCACGTAAGGGAATCCGGATGCCGGAATCCGGGAAATTCTTTCTTGTGGAATCCGGAATGCAGCAAATTTTTGGTGGGGAATCCGGAATGCAGCTGAAGGAATCCGGAATCCAATTTCCACTGACAAATAATCCGGAATCCATGACGTGGAATCCAGAAACCAAGACTGTCTTGGATTCCCTTACGTGGGGCAATACAGTAGCCTGCGTAGCAGGCACCGGTATTTTTTGGGGGCGAAAAGAGAAAATTCGAGGACGCGCGCGCGAGGGGAGGAAAGGAGAGGGCACCTCCTCTCGCCTTCGCGTGTTCCCCTCGCGCACCCTTGAAAAAAAATTAACCGGTGCCTGCTACTTAGGCTACAATACAGAGGCAGCAGAGTGTTTAATTCGCTACGAGCTACCGACAATTCGATCCCACACTCTGAGTGAAGTTACAAGATCAAATCTCAATCATAAAGCGCGTTTTGGAAGTTACGAAGCCCAAAAAAGCTACACGCTACAGCAGGAATGGGAGAAAAATGGGCGCATATTTCCATCGGTTCCATATAACTAACAATCAACTTTGGATATTTTGTACCCTTCGTCGTTTCGAATAAGTGATCTGAAATTAATAAACTGATATTGAGCTATGTTATCTCATAGAAACAAACTCTGACGATCAGCAGAACAATACAGTAGAGTGATGACAAGATATGATTTCACTTTTCGCCGTTGACACACAATAACGTTAACTTCACGCCCATTGAAAATCATGTCAAATCCTACGACTGATTACACTCTTATCGCAACCTCAGAGAATGTGAAATCAGCGAAGTTATCCGATGACTTCGCTGATTTCATATTCTCGGAGATGCTTTTTAGAGCGCTAAAAACCAAACCAAACCAAATAATATAAATTAAAGCTCTTTCTAGCTCGAATACTTAAGGGCAGTAATGTAACACATACAATCTTGTTCCCCAAAAATATCAGTCAACAACTTTAGAATCCATTTGATAGTCTCGAAATAAACAAATACCGTAAAATTCCGAAAATAAGCCCCTCCAAATAATAAGCTCCCCAACTCGTAACGTAAAAAACCCTCCGTTAAATCGCCCCTCCAAATATAAGCCCCCGGCGGTTTGTACTTGGAAATTGCCCTCAAATACAAAGTAAAACAAAGCAAAAATGGTAAATTTCCTTCCAACTATAAGGCTAGTCCAATCGATTTTGAAATGCAAATTTCCCTCCAAAGATAAGCCCCTCCAAAAGTAAGCCACTCAAAAAGGGCCTTTGAAAAATTTAAGCCCCGGGGCATATTTTCGGAATTTTGCGGTAGTTAACAAAAATGAACATTTCCCATACCTTCCTCTCCCGTTATAGTGACGTGCGAGATCATCAACGAAGAAGGCGCTTTTTTGGCGGGTACAGCAGTGCACAGCTCCTCGCTAAAGCACTGAACTCCATAGCAATTTTTCCCGGACATTAGCGCTACATCACAATTTTTTTCTTCGCAGCAAAGCTGAATGCAGAGCTGCATGGCTACAAACTGCGCCAGTTTTTTGAACGTACCAGCGTTTATTCCACCCCTCAATGTAACGTTTTGCTGTATTGGGCTTTGCGCGCAGGACTCGATAGGTCCAGCGGTCTTCTGGGTGGCGTTTGACAAAGCTAGAGATTGAGAGATTAGGAAATGACAAGTAAACAAAAAAGTAGACATTCCTACAATGTTAATCGTAATTGTTTGTAAAATTAAAAGTGCGACATAAATTCCCTAGTGTTCATGGAAAAGTTGACAATATATTATTTTACATCCAATTTGAGCGTTTATTCAATTGGAGAAGACCAAGTTCGAGCCTGCAGACGGTTCAGAGTTTTACCTTTTCACGAGTGGTAGTTGTCCATTCAGATTACCAAAAAAGTCATGTCGTGTTTAAGGTCAGTATTTCATTGTTTACTTTGCATGTTGCAACTTCCAAGTTGAAGTCCATGGAGTGGACTCAAATCCCTATTAATGAAAACAATAGAGCTACAAATACTAATACTAATATTTAAAATTACTTTACGTTGGCCTAACGATGTCAATTAAGATATACTAAAAGGTCTCAGTTTCTTTTTCATTACTGAGATCCGACAAGTGTGATCATATAACTGAGCAACACAATCCCCTAATTTATGAGACTTTTTAGACCTTGAATCTGCGCCGCAAAAAATTATGAAAGAATTCTTACTTTGCTACAACTCAACTTAAGGTTATCATGATGTACAGTGTCCTTGCACGCGAAAACAGACTCTGTCTTTTTAGTGGTCATTCTAAGCGATCTTTACCGCTCTTCATAAGATTCGTTATAGGTGCTGCTCCTTTAGAAAGTTACACTTTAAAGAAAAGTTATCCAAAATTACTGGTGGAAACGAATAATAATGTCTTTACCTTTCGTCGTAAATCCCAGTGATACCAGTATTACAAGAACCAAAATGGCGGAATTGAATGAAAGCCACCTAATCATGATACCATGATGGGAGATTTTTGCAGGAACAAGCTGTCCTCATCCACTCCGCATCCTTCACGATCCTTTGTCAATTAATCCATCTTGAATTGCAGAAAAAATCCAACCATTTTCGAAGCAAAACTCTCGATATAAACGCTCTACTTTCTTCCTTGGTCTGTGGCTCAACAAGCTTGTGAATAATTAATAACGTTGAGTCATCTGCTAATCTGACCTAACTTGGGGTTATATTGTTGTTCGACCAAGCTTGTAACGGGTTGTTTTGCTTCAGAACTTCAGTCGACCGAATCTACTTCAATACATTCAAGGAGGCAGCGTGGCCGAGTGGTTTGAGCGCTGGACTTGCCATTCGGAGGCCCCGAGTTCAAGTCCCGCTCTGACCACTAGTTGGATTTGTTCACGGTAGTCACGAGTTCAAATCCTCAGCCACGCTTGTAAATAGCCAGCTGGTTTGCCTTAGGCCAGTTGGGATTCTTAACCCTGTTAAGTTTGATTTGAATTATTTGTTTCAGGCATTTGCTCGGCCCCACTAGCATTAGTGCTATAAACACTGCCAAGGGTAAATAACGGAATTATTATTATTATTAATACGAGAAACTCAGACGCTGAAAAGACAAGAAAATCGCACCCACAAGAAAACCCTCTGCTGGTGTGAGTTGTCAGTTATCTTGGTGCCAACATCGGTGATCCCCTGTGGGCAGGGCTAACACTGATCGTGTAAAGCGAGCAATTTATATTGAGAATCTGATCACACAAAACCAGCTGTTAAAATGAGTAGATTTCCTCAGCACTGTGACACCATGGCACGTGCTCTGTTGAACGACACCTGAGATGCTCTGAAATGTTTTCTCGTCGAAACGCATCGACCGGATACGAAGTAGCATCGAATGGTGTACCTTTAAACAGGTTCAAATAATAATAACAATTGGGCACGTGCTTTCGAAAAAACCTGGTAACAAGGTGAGCACAATAGAGGCAGACCGAAGGACACCTGACGACGAACGGTAGAAGGAGAGATGAAGACCCTAATAAACCACAATTGCGGGGGTACCATCCGGAAGCTGGCCCAGAATAGACCTTCGCTGCTGCCCTTCATTCCACCGGGCATTGTGAGCAGTAAGTAAGTAAATCTGACTTGTGGTTTCTTTGTATCAAGCAAGCCGCTGGGCGGGGAGGAGCACAAGGAAATGAACATAGTCATGAGTGACATATTTTATGGTAAAATACCGCCTACTTGTATTTATCGGCTTTGAAAGATTTTCTGCAACGTCAGTCAGTAAAGCTTCAACCAATTCAAAACCTGGATTGAGAAACTGCAAAACTCCATAAAAATCCATAAAATGAGAGATGCAATACCTTCTTTTTTCGATTTCATTCACGTTTATTACATGAAATCACCATTCAAGACGGTTCACTTGGTGAACTTACTGATGAACAACGCTGATCACCAACGCATGAACAACTATGCCAACATGCCCCTAGAGTTTGTCAGTGCTTTCCTACAAATTTAAAACCTTTAGAAAGCGACCACTCAAACTGAAGTGGTCCCTAAGAAGGGTGGTTGCTTTCTGAGTCCATATCTAATTTGCCTGGGTCACAATAACGACTTGACCAAAACCAGAAACTATGCATGAAAAGTCTCTGGCACCCAGGGTATATAAAAGTCTTTCTGTCAGTATAGCTGTTTTAGCGACTCTTTTTATTCTAGAGGTGCATAATTCGTCTAGAATACTTATGTCTCCTTCTGCTGTCCCAAGAGTGACCAACATCAGTTTTCTCCTAACAACATCAGAAGATCATCAAGAGTAAATGTTATGAGAATTACTAAATTGATTACCAAAGGAAGAATGCTTTGATCTTAAACCAAATTCTCTCAACTATTCTTAAAAGAAATGTTTAGAGATCAGTCTGGAGAACTTGTATGTTGATCTTGGGGCTGCCTTTCATCGCCCTCTGCCACTAGGAGTAATTCCTATCTTGCAAGGAATGCCTCAAACAAACAAATAAAGACAAAAACAAAAACAAAACCAAATTCCACAATTTTAATCGTTTTTTCAGACTTTTTCCAGCCCTGGAAAACTTGTTTCCAAATTTCAATAATTTTTTGACAAGAATTCAGGACTCTGTGACATATTAAGTATTGATCCGGGCAAGACAGGAAGCAATTTCTTTGTTATGTTGCAATATGCCCCCAGGGAGGGTACTCCAGATTTCAAGTGGCAGGGATGATAGAATGGCAGCAAAAATCAACACCCAAAAAAATTCCCTGGGCAAAATTTAACCCCTGAAAATTCCCATGCTGAATTTCGATACTTATACTTTGATATTTTGATACTGTTGAATTACAGAAAATGTTTGGGAAAATCAAGGTTTTCTAAAAACTGATCACGGACTTCTTTGCATTCCAGATTTAGTGTATTGTTCCTTTGAACTGGTACGTTACTCTTTCCAAGAGAAAGCATCAAATATATGAATTCAGGAAGAATTAGCTGGCTTTGAATTCCAACACAAATCTTTAAATTTCCTGCCCTCTTGCCAGGATTACCCATGATGCAACTATGGGCGTGAACTCCTCTATTTCGTTCAACATCCCTTCAGCAAACACCTCTCCCAACAAACATTGTTTAGAGGGTGTACATGTTCACCATATAGAATTCCCCGTTACATCAACAGATTGACGCCAGTCAATATAAGATGATAAAATTGTTTTATAACATTGTCAGAGTGTTGAGTATTCACAACAAACTTTGACAGTGTCAAGCCCGGCGTATAGTAACTGCAGAGATGCCAACCTCTGGACATTATATGAAGTCTTACATGAAGTACATACTATCAAAATTCGCAATCATCGTTTTGATGCCAGAAATAATCTTTGTCAGTGACTAAATAGGTGCAAAAATGCTCCAGAGACCGTACTACGAATAAGAAAAATTCAAGTTTTGAGCTAAAAATAGGCTAAATCTCAAACTAAGGCACAAAAAAGCTCAAAAGATGATTTTATCCGGGAGATATGGTGACCCGTACGGGAGACCGGGAGATTGGTGTCGTATTCGGGGGACTCCCGGGATAATCCGGGAGAGTTGGCATGTGTGTTTAAACTGTCTTAAAAACAATGACGGCAGAAGGATGGAATTTTTGTCTCTTGCTGACACTGATGCAAACCTTTTTCTAGATGGCTACCACAAATTTAAGGTTGTACCTTGGTTTAACGCCAGGTTATCAGCCCGCTGGGTTCCCGGGAAAGGATTTAGGCCATGGAAGGCAAAAGGTAGCAGAGATCAGTATGCCAGTGGAAATGTTGTCGCATTTTGTCTGTCTCATTTTCAAAATCATCACAGTCTTATAACCACGGATTATCATAACATGTAGTTTTCCATTCTGTCTTTCAATCCATGACGGAACCTCAGCGCAAAGCTAAAGACATTTAGGAGGTCCTTGTTAACGATACGCCATAATTGTATGTCATGTAAGACTCCCTGTATTATCCTTGACCTCATGTATGCTTCATAAAGCAACATCACGGAAAAGACTGCAGGGCACCACAGGTGACACAGGTAACCCATGCAAGCTCGAAAATGTTGCGTAGCCTTGGAAATATATGGATTTGGATGGGGGAAAAAAAGAATGTGTCTAACCTACGAATGTAAAAAGGTATTAATAAAAATCGGCTAACCTCACTTAAGTTGTGCCGATCTTCTTTCCTGTGTGATCACCGTGCCGATTTATAGACATTTTATGGGTTCAAATACTGATACTGATCCATAAAATGGCCGGCTACATTGACTTTAGTGTGAACACAGAACAGGAACCACTTCAAAAAGAATGTATGCCAAAAGATTTTTATTAAATCGTTATACTACAATCTAACAATGAGTACATGTACAGGGCCGGGATTGGTTATCATCGAACCAACCTCCTAAATTAACGTCAACAAGTGGACAAACGAAGAACTAACTAATTCAAAAAATAATATTATAAAATATTACTGGTAATAGGGGCAAGACCTTGGTCACAATGACAGTTTCTTTAAAATCAACACCGGGCGAAGCCTGAAGAGAATTTTTTCCGACAGAGACAGTATCAGGAAATAACATATTTTAAACGCATAGTTCTCTTCGGTATTTAAGACACAGTGCACACACAAGAAAGTGCTCCTGTTGACTCTATACTGTCTTCGGGCATAAAAAAGAAGCACGTCAGTTCAGCTATCAAGTAACTTGTGTTTGTCGCTGAAGCCAGCCTGTAAGGAAGAAATTATTTCCGCTTCACCTAACTTTGTATTCGATTGATACTAAGTACAATACAACATCTTATAATTTTGCAAATTATGTTATTTCTCTGGTAACTGTAGTCGGTGCCTCGAGCTAGAGAAGAAAATGAATTGTGAAGGATCGTGGTAGGGTTTTTTCTTCGTGCTGCTTGCCTTTAAATTTTTTTGTGTCTTAACTTTCTTTCTAACCTCTCAGGATCTCTTCTTTACCGAAGAGTTTGGTGTTGTCGTGGATTAGAGAGCGAGATCACCTATTTTCAAATGTCATTAGCGCCACCCCATATAGAGAGAAAGAGTCTTGCAAGTAAGAAAGGCTTACATTGTGCGTAATTCTAAAAAAGCAAGACCTTTTAAAGTACTGTCCGTTTTACTGATCTCATAAAAACCGAACTCAAAAAATCAATTAGAAATAATCTCTGCGTGATCTACATTTGTTGGCCGAGGAGAACAATATATAATGTCTGGAAATAATAAAAGAACTACCTCTGGAATGAAAACCTTAGGATTAAGGGCTACTGATAGCAACTAAGCCTTAAAAATCAAAGATCTAGCTTCTTTATCAGCAGTTGCACCGCACTTAAGACATGCGCAAAAAAATTGGTGCATGTGGGGATCTCGTGTTTAGAGACTGTTCCCTTCTCCCTGTACGCCTTCAATACCACCGATGTTACAAGACACTGAAACAGGCTTTAGATATATACTGAAAGGTACAAAGAGATGTTGAACTTTCGATCAACTCTGTTCATATGGGCTAGAATTACTAGAGTTGCCTTCAGACGTCTCTTCATCTAAGCTGCAAAGACATGACACTCTATCAGCTTTGAAGCTCAACTATGATCCTTATAGTCACTTTGTAGTCCCTTTTTAACTTCTGAGCAATTCACTAAAACGTGTAATTTCCTTCCACAGGTGCGCATGCCTCGAAGTCACACCTTCCTAGTAACTGGGTTCTCTTTGCAGTCATCTTCTTCTCAGTATCTTGGCATCGGTGTTCGATATCTTGTTTGAGTAGCTGATGGAAGACAAAAATGGCAACAATAAATGATTTTACAACCTGCAAATACTTCTCAGTCGGATTTTGTGAATTGTTTCATGATCTTAAGAAGACAAATTCTGATTGTTTCTAACTTAATTGCAGGCTTTGAGGACACTATTTTCAATCTTTCAGCAGTCTTTGTTTGCAACCATGTGACAAGGCAGCCATGTTGGTGGTCAATAAAATAGAATTTTTGTCAAAACATTTGTGTGAAAATGGAGTTTAGTTCCCAGAGGAGAGATATACTATGGTTCTTCACCACCAGCATGTCCGCCATGACGTCACGTACCAATCAGCAATTGGCCATCTTTAGTTTCAGTTACGTGTAGGACTGGGTTGGTGTTGAGTCGCATGTCCGCCATGACGTCACGTACCAACCAGCAATTGGCCATCTTTAGTTTCAGTTACGTGTGGGACTGGGTTGGTGTTGAGTCGCATTGTACTATGGGATTATTTTTGGGCACAAATTTATACCCAGTTTTCTGTGTAACCCCTAAATATGCCAGAAAAGAAGAGATAGCGTCTCCGAAATAGTCCCAGTGCAATTCGACACAACACCGATCCAACCTGAGGCACGACCTCTAATATCGTTGCCAGGGTCCTCTCATTTTCCAATATGGCAGCGGCATAGTGGAAAACAAGAAGACTACGGGGACAAGGTTGCGCGAACTCAAAATATCTAGGTAAATTGCCGTAATCACACTTTTATCATTGGAGGTTCCTACTAAATGTATCAAAAACGTAGTTTGTGTTTGACGTTATCTGAAACTATCTATTACGTGTCAGTTTTGCTATTAATTACTTCCTCTCATTTAATTTTCTTTGACTGGGGAGCTCAGGCCTTATAAACCTCTTGGTTTCCTCTGGGCCACCCTGGCAAGTTTATTGTATTCATTCCAATATTTTGTTTATTAATTTGGAAAAATAAATACATGAAATGAATGTAAAAATCTTCACGGAGACCACGACGGAGCAAGATTGACAAAAGTTTAATTAACAAACTTCTATGGTTCTTCAAGATATAGTACAATATGCACGCATGCCTATAATAAAACACCCGCTGGTTATTACGCTAAACAGAACTGAAACATCATTAAATCTTGACAACTTACTTTTTGGTAACATTTCATCATCTTCATCATCATCAAGCATTCGTCTTTGTTTTCGAATTTTCTGCCTGAAAACAATTTAACAACAACATATAAGGACAGAATAACTGGCGAGGGAAACTGATTGCATGCAAAGGCGAAAGCTTATAAGTCCTTATAAGAAGAACGAAGAGACTCTGGAAATGTACTCTTATCAAACAAGTTTCAGAAGAAAAGAATTGAAGTTTTTTCGGGGGATGATTCGATGAGAGGGGGTCTGCGACAATTTAGTATACAACTTTTCACCCTATATAAGGGAATCCAAGACAGTCTTGGATTCTTGATTCCACTCCTTGGATTCCGGACTTGATTCTTAGGATTCCGGATTCCACAAGTTAAATTTTCCTGGATTAGATCATTAAACCTTTTCCGGCCCTGCCCAAGTGGGAAGTAAATGTTAATGTTGGCTTAGGGGAGGGGTAGGTGAGCAGTTTCCCAGAAACGTATAATGATTCAACTTTTCTAAGCTGTCTCAACAGCCCACGTTCGATAGATTAAAATTCTAACATGACTCCGAGGCTTTCTGGTCATTTTTCTATATTTGGTTCGGTTTTCTTGTTCTCAAGTCCCTTCTGGGAATTGCGAGATAATGGAACTCGTCAAAATTTGCAGTTTTGAACCAACAAAGCCTCGGGATCATAATAGAATTTTGATACATCGAAGGTGGGCTATTAATTAGATGTCCATTTTGGTCTTCGAGGATGATTTGTAGCTAGCACTTGTTGCTCGTCACTTGTCACGTGACTGCCCTACCTCTTTGTACAGATACACACAGCCCATATCACTCCACCGATTCCTGCTACAAAAGCCAGTGAGGCTACGATAATATATACCAGCATCCAATCTGAAAACAAATCAGAAATGGATGGTTGAATATCTCCTTAGTCACTACTCCTCGAACTTATAGATACTAACAGATTGACTACAGTTAATATTGGGAGTTTTGGAAAGATAAAAAAGAGAATATCTCGGGGTTGGAGAACCTGTGGTGCTAACTTCTAAGCCATCTAGCATAATATCGAATGCTCCGGGCAAAAGCTTCAGTCACCATCCAGCTTGAAATTAGTTGACAAAAAGGAGTCAGACTTCGGCTACAAAAACGATCAAGTATTTTCTTGATCTGAAAGAAGATTACAACAATCAAATTGCCTTTTAAAACCAAATGTAACACGGTTCTTAAAAGCGGAAATAAAATAACGTTCATTAACTCCTTAGACAGAGTACACAGTAGGTGCTATGACGAAAAAAAAATATTACTAATGATACACACCTTTTTCCTTTTGCGCGCTCTTTCCTCTGTTCATGTACGCCAGCTGGACATTAGCGTCCTTAACTGCAGGCTCAGCGTTTGTTTGGCACATGACTCCATCAAGACACTGCACTGCAAAACACTTATTATTCAGTAGATAAGCGATATCACACGTGGGACGAACACAACACCGGCTGATACATCGGTGAATATCATCTGCTTTTCCCAAATCTGTAAAGTTGGTCGCCGAACTTCCGGGTCGAAGTTTGATGTCAGTAGAAATTCTGCTGTCTTTGCAACTTCCGGTTTTAGATGCAAACTCAGTGGAGGAAGTGTCCTCGGGAGGAGTGGCAATGGCGGTGAGGTCTGGGGAGAGAGAGAGAGGATATTGAGTTAGCTAGTGGTTCTTTTGGTCTTTATGAACGGTTTGAAGTATTACTCTGCTACTAATCATTAAGTGTAACCGCTAAAACCCGGAGGTTAAAGATGCCGTGAACTCTGTATAGCGTATAGGGTGTTTTTACTCAAGTGACCACCGCTATGAAAATATATTACAACAAAAGAAAGCGTCTACACAAGAAAAGAGTTCCACCGGACTGGTTTGGAGCACCAACAGGGCCACCGTTTTATTTTTTTGGAAAACCAATATGGCGGACCTGAAGTCATGTGAAAAGGGTCTCACAAAGCTGTCACAATTTACAGTGCGACCGGGAAAACCTTGAACACTTGAAATATCTCAGGAATGTTTATTGTGTTATGACCAATCACAGCGAAGACCAATGCACGCGAACTGGCCGCAAAACCACAAACTAACCCTTTGGGATGATCTGGATCAGAAGCAGTGATCCGAGATCACTCGGATCATGGTAGAACAAATGAACTGACGAATCCTTGTCCAGAGTGAATTTATCGGTTCATTTGATCTACCATGATCCGAGTGATCCTGATCCGGATCAACTCAAAGGTACGCACCCTAATTAACGTTCTTGCTTGCGGTTAAGTTTTCTCACACCTGATTGGCTTTTCTCTTGCAAGACAATAACATTCCTGAGATATTTCAAGCGTTCACGGTAAGAGTTGGAACCGTCTTGCACAGCATAGCTAATAATACCAAAAGCTAAAAGAGTCATGCTGCCTTGTAGCTTGAATGGTCCCAATTTAGGATTTCCTTAACACTGACTCAAAAGTTATTCAGTAGTTACACTCTACGGGGCTCAACTGAAAAATTCTAAAGAAAAGTACAACCTTATAGGTTTCATTAGAATGGCCACACTGAACCGTGTCGAATAAAAGACTGCACCGGAACATAGTACTACTCGATAGAGCGATTTTCGTATGACCTTGAAAAATGGTTTCGGTAATTGTTCGTTATTTGTTTTATCAGCCAATGGATGAAAAGATCAGAACATGGCCTCTTCGTTTTCTCGCCAAAGAAAACCTTAATATGGAGAAGGCATTGTTTGATTGGCCAATCATGTTGCAGCATGACGTCAAAGCGAAGTATCGATTGATTTCTAGAAAGTTCTTCGGGCATGAAGTTTTTTTCGTTCGCTTGACCAACCAAAAGCCATGCGCGTTTGTATCCGTTCGATAGACCAATCAAATCGGTCCATTTTCGTTCGTTTGCTGTTTCTGTTTTGTTTCCGCGTTTTCATTTCAAGGTCATACGAAAATCGCTCTAGAGTTCATTTAAGCCTTCTATACGATTATATTCAAGTATTCAAAAGAAAAACATTAGATGCATTGATAACCCTAGACTAAACGCTTAAGTAAACTCTACCTGTTTCTTCCTTCGGCTCCGCCTTCATGATCATGGCTGAAATAAGCGGGGTTTTCTTGGACGCTTTCACCGTGACAGGTTTGCAATCGTCTCTTGAAGAGCAAGAAACGGAATAACATTTCTTCTCTACCATGTAGGCCACATCACACTCTTTGCTGTCGCAGCATTTTTCCATGCACTTTGCCATGCTTTCTGCTTCTTTGACCAGAGTAAAGTTGTCTTTATGTATACCGCCTGGCAGGTCTTTATTGTTAGTTATGTTGCTGTGTTTGCATTTGAGATCTTTTGGTTCTGGTGGGATGGCTGGAGCCTTGCTAGTTTCTACAATTTAAATTAAAATGAAAGTCACACAAGCCTTGAATTGTCTTTTCTGTCTTAAGACAATAAAACTACTCATTCTGTGGGAGACATATTAAATTTTCCAAGTAGAATACTGCAATGCTGATCGTACTACGTGAAAATTAACTCAGCAAGACATCAACACGACACCGAAAGAACTCAAAAGAGAGCGGGACTGTAGCCATAGACAGCTGTTTCGCCCTCTTTGGTGCTCGTCAGTATGGCGTAACAACCAGAGAAAACTCTGGTGAAAAATATCCGCGCACTCTTATTAAAGCCCTGACCTAGAACTCTCAACACCCACAGAATCACGCCTTACCACGTGTCTTGTGGGGGGCAAGAGTCCAAGTGCCAAGTTCATGTCAGAGAAAGTAAAAAATTGGCTAAAACCAACCTATAGAACATGGACAGAACCATGCAAGAATTACGGCATATCTGAGGGCCTCGCACAGTCACAGGTGAATACCCACCAATTTCTAAAGTGAAGCATGAGATATACCGGTATTTAGAATCTCGTTTGCGGATAACGACAAACGTCAGTCGAAGATTCAAGGTGACAATTTTTCAAGTTAGAAAATTAACAGATAAAAACAGCTCAAAACAATTGCTAAGGATGAAACCGGCATGAAACTACTTATTTCTCTGTAGATCAGTATAATAAACGGTAAACGACAAGTAAAGGGAAATTGGTCACGTGGTACAAATTGACGTTTGCTGTTTGCCGTAAACGCGATTCTAAACCATTTAAAATGATCAGTATAGTTGTGTTCCAATTTGCAAACAATATTGCAAGGGTGATGAACAGTATAGTTGTGTTCCATTTTGAATACAATATTGGAAATTTCGCATAAGGGATGAAAAAATAAAATGAAACTCTCAATTCTGAGAAAAAAAAATTGTTTTCGCTAGCCGGTTTCCGCAGGTCTTTAGAACCCTAGCCTGCAAACGCAGTCGTATTTCCGGTCGTCGCTTCTCTCCACCCGAGAAGCAATGAACGGAAATACGTCTAACCAACAAAGGTAGAATACTTTAGATTGGATAAGGGGAAGAAAGGGTTCCGAGAGGCGAAAGCTTTACTTGACCTTTTTTCGTTTCTGCACTAATTAAAGAACAATTTTCCTTGTAATAAAGACCTTAGAAACTAATAGTTCCAATAGTTTTATCAGCACCAAAAGGCCAGGTTTGAAGGGTTGATCACTATAGACCACTGGAAATCTAGTACTCAAAATAAACTCACCCTTTGTGTTAGAATTTTCCAACTGCCGCACGTAAGCAAGTTGAGGATTGTAATCGGACGGAGGAGCTTTGGTGTGTTCACAGAGATCCTTACTATTGCAAGCAACAGAGTAACATGTCTTGCCGAGCATAAAAGCTACATTGCATTTCTTATCTTTGCAACAAATATCTTGACATTCGTCCATTCCTTTCACATCACCATGGTTACTGAATTTTCCGGATTTCTTTCCACCTTTAAGTGTTACATTGTCAAGTACTTTTGCTTTATTGCATTGCTTTTTGGCCGAGTCATCCTTTTTGGACGAGTCGTCAGTCTTCGCCTTAGATTCGGAAGCTTCGGAATTTTCCGATCCCCCGACGGGCGTCAGCTTGATCTTTCCGTCCACGATGTTCATTTGCATGGCTTGGCCGGCTGCGGCCGACTTTATTTGATTCTTAAAACTCTGTTGATTATCTGCATGTGGTATCTCTGTTTTCTTGGTTTCCGTTTGGGCACCAGCTAGCTGATCAAGGGTTTGTGAAACAGGCGAAGCTGGTGCTGCTGGTGGAGCTGGTTGTGCAGGTTGTGCAGGAGGGATTGGAAACTGCATTACTAAATAAAATAGAAGGAATTTTTAAACTAGCTGTGTCACGAAATTTATCGAAATTTAAACAGTGGAAATTGCCACCAAATTGCGAGAAACATAAGTAAAATAAGGTATATAGAACACAGCATATACAAAAGAAGGCACAGTCACGGGACGAACTTGAAAAATTACAATTAATTAAAACTTACATAGCGCAATTTTCCATGGAGCATGATCAAATGCGCTTGAAAGCCCCCTAAATTTCATCCAGTAATATTTGTACTTCACTTGTCATATATTCCACTCATTTACTGATGAATATGGTCGGTCTTTCGTTATCTATTACCTTTTACGATAAAAAAAGGCCATTCTTACAACATGCATAACTTGAGAAATGATTTAGTTCATACGAACCAGCGCCGTTATCTATTTGACTTCCACCCATCGGCATAAACGGCTTCGGTCCCGTCTCCGGGTTAGAGGCAAAAGGGGCCACGGGAGGAGAGGGTGGGGAAGGCAGGGTCATCTGCTGTGCCAGCCCTGGTAGCAAAGGTGTCTGCCCTTGTCCCTGGGTTTGTGAGAACTGTGTTGTTTGTGCCGCATCCATCGCTGGAGCTGTTAAACCGGGTAGTTGAGCTTGTGGTGTCAATGCTGGTGCCGATGGAGATGACAGAGGTGTCTGTAGTAATCCCGGAATAGTTGCATTGGTTTGCTGATCTGAAGGCTTTGGTGCCCCTTGAGTCACATTAAAAAAGAAAAAAAAAACCACCGAATTACAGTGATAAGTGTGTACAACGCCCATTTCATGGCGGTCACCTTCCCTTAATTAACCTTTTAACTCCGAAGATTTGATTACTTGTTCACTCTTCTGGCTCTACACATTTTCTCGCACATTAGATAAGATATACAGGGGTTATATAAAGATAAAATCCCACGGCTGATTCATTTGTCTATTCTCATCACTTACGTGTTAAATAATGTATTGAATATCAGGAGAATTTACATTCCAGTCACCGGTGGGAGTAATCCAACTGCATGTTGAGCACACGAACTTTAAAGTGACAATGAGATCTTTTGGCCAAAATCATAGCCGCAGAAATAATAATAATAATAAAAAGATCTCTGCACTTTTATCGCGTGACCCTACGCTTATTGCATCCTTACACAGCTAAAAGGTACTTACAAGGAAGGTGCTTACAGATGACCATAAAAGGTCTCATTGTTTGCTTAAATTGCGTTATGTTATATGATACGCTGTAAACATCACGCCCATGGAGTATATTGAGTTCTTCTGTATTAAGAAGCCTTAGCGGCCAGTTTTTAAAGTCTCTGTTTGACTAAGGATAACAATAACCTTACCTATTAACTCGGTCGAGCCATATTCTCTAACATATGATATCTTGGGATTATACCGTGACGGATTGGCTGGTTGTGTTTTACAAGCGTCCGCGCTCTTACAAGCCACTGAGAAACAGTTTGAGGACAGCATAAAGGCCAGGTTACAATGCGGCATCTCACAACAGATTCGTCGACATTTCTGTATGTCTTTGACTTTGCCATGATCGCGGAAGTACCCGGATTTAATTCCACCCACAAGTGTGACACTGTCAAGCACTTTATTTGCTGGACATACAACTTGAGGTTTGAGAATTTGACTTTTTGCTGTGTCTGGAGAAAAAATGTAAGGATAAACATTAATTTATCGAATGCGAAAGGACATTGACATTCTGTAAACCTTCTTGAAGTGCCATAAAACAGCCAAAAAGGGTTTTAAGTACTGAGGAAAATAAAGCATTGTTTTTAAGAATGTCTTGAAGTTGTTGAGGTGATTGTGATTGCGATTTAAAATGCGCTGTTTCAAGAGAGAATAATGCATCGAGATGGAATCTTAGAGCGTTGGCCCGGATATGCGAATTTCACTGACGTTATTTTTAGCTAGGTTATAATTAAACGGAAGTCTGATTCTTGGGACATCCGCACATTTTGATCGATTGTTTGGAACGTCATCAAGTCCACACGCGACTGCCTCAAAGCAAACTATAAAGAATACTGTAATGGCGACACCCCAAAGAGAGCATATAACACGAGCGATAAAACAGGTCATAGATTAGGAGTTCCTCAGTATAAATTCAATGGCTCAGCCTCGGTTGTGCGTCAAAACTATATCGCAACAGTCATTCGGAGTGGGCCTGCTTAAAAGTGCCTGCAAAAATACATTAGAATAAATTCATTTCAACTGGTTCGCAGGATTAAATAGAGATCCTTGGATTCAAGGTCGAGGGCGACTATAAGGACGAGATATAACTGAAAATTTTTTCGCGTATTCTCAAACAAAATATCTAAACCGCAAAGCTTCATTGTGTTTTATTTTTCACCAGAAGTATTTGCACAGTTTTTCTTACTAAAGGACGTTAAGCCCCCCTCCGATTGAAAATGATGAAACTTCTAATAACATTTGAAAAAATTTTTTCTGCAGTACGACCTTCTTGTTAAAACTCATAAAAGAATGACGAAAAGTACGCTGGTTCAGGCGCGTGCACTACTAAGCATTGAAAAAACCTGGGTTCAATTTAATTAAACGTTTACACGTGTAATTTACAAGTGTAGTTATTGTTCTCGGACTCTAAAACAATGGCTACACTTGTAAATTACACGTGTAAAAGTTTTAATAAATTGAGCCTACGTCCTGTTCTTAAAATCTTAAGCTCTCTTTTCACCATTATCTTACTGTCACGTATGTCATGTATGCTATCGTGAAAGTACTATAAGCATTATGATATGCAATAAACCTCGAGGTTTCTTATTCAATATGGCTGTCGTGTGATACAGTACATAACTCTTACCTCCACTCATTTCCTTTCTACTCCAGACATACGCAATTTGTGGATTGAATATCGACGGTTGCGCTGGAATGGTACTGCACAAGTCCTTGTTATAACATTTGACTGAGAAACAGTTCTGACCCAGCATGAAGGCTAGGTTACACGAGGCTTGCTGGCAGCATGTCGCATAGCATTCTTTTATGCTGCCTACTTTTCCTGTGTCTGTAAAATCGCCTGCTTTGAGCCCTCCCTTAAGCGTCACCTTTGTCATTGGCTTCACTACTGGACAGCTGTATTTAGTGTCTGCAGAATCGCTCAGAAAAACTGCAAAACCAAACATAGTTTAAAACATAATATAAAAGATGATTTTTGTGTGTTTGTTTGTAAGTTCTAGAGTCCTTTGGCACCAGCATTTAGTTTATCTATCCATCAATGTATCCATCATTTAATCTATCCATCCGTCCGTCCATCCATTCATACTCCCTCATTCATCTGTTTTTATTATCCTCAATCATTCATTCAACCATTTGTCTATTCTCGTACCCGAGGGAATACTCAGTAAATGTTTATACACGGAGGCTCCGCCCCGAGGTCCAACCCCTTACCCTTTTATATACCATTTTTCACGAAAAAAGCACCCCTTTCGAATACCTTCTATTGACAAATGGTACCCCTTTCACATACCTTGTTTAGAACTTTGCATCCCTTTTAACTGCTGTAAATGCACTGTCTTTTATACAGGAATCAATCACAAAAATAAAGCGTTTTCTCGACTTTATAAAGCCATAAAATTCACCTGTTAGCTCTTTTGGGCCCTTTCACAGACACAAATGACAGATTTCCCTACCCTTTAAGGTACTTCATCTAGTGAAATCCCTACCCTTTCATATACCTGAAGCCTGAAAAAGATAGCCCTTTCAGGCGGAGCCTCCCTGTATAGGCAATCATAGGGAGTACCCCCCGGGTCCTCGTACCCCACCTGACACCCATACGTTACGTGTATATGGCGTAAAAATAGCTTTAATACTTACTATTAACTTACTATTGCCAGCCATAAACCTAGCGAATGAATAACCTCACAGTTAAAAGGAGGTTCGATCCTTTTTAGGCATGGAGTGCCTAACCAAGATCTGGAGGGTCATTTGCTGCAATTCATTAGGGACATTTTCTTTCCATCCTTTTGGTTTGTTAACTATATAACCTCGTCTCTTTCTGAAAGCTAGGTTTCGTTTCGGGAGTACAGGGCCTGGGCAGGGGTGGAGGAGAGGGGAGGAAAAAGACGCTAACAATGACTCTAAATCCTCTCCGGTTTTCACCCATCGCGATCTTTTTAACGTGGTACTTAAAAAAAGAATTAACTTTTATTCTGGTTTCTCTTGAATCCGAGGGTCTATCCATGTCAGCTTACCTGTGTGTTTAACACCTTCCTTATTCCACCGCTCAATGTACGTCACCGATGGATGATACGGTGAGGGTTTCGCTTTCTGTATTTGACAGTTCTTTCCTTCAGAACAACCAACAAGATAACATCGATTTGAGAGCATAAATGCTAAGTCACACGCCGCAAACTCGCAACATTTGCTCGAACATTCATCCATGTTTTGCACTGCTCCAACATCTTTGTATGTTCCAGCGTTAATTCCTCCTTTTAAAGTCACTTCTTTGAATAGTTTCCCGGCCCTACATTGTCCAGCCATATTGGGGTTCACACTGTCTAATGATTTTTGTCCTTGGGCTATAAGGCCCTTCGGCGTGTTAGTTGACGAGAGCCCTGCTTGATTTGGGCCCAAAAATCCATTGGGATGTGGCTTCACGTTTGATGTAAAATTTGGAGTTATAAATGCTAGTGATGTGTTATCTGTTTGGAAATCAAATACCCATCTTTAGTTTTCTGTTTGTTTTTAGCATACTCCCAAAGCATTTATTTTTATAAGTAAAAGCTGACATGGCAGAGTTTTGGAGGGTCTAAATAAGTCAACAAACGAACCAATCTCTTGAGATCTAAGGCCTTTTAAAACTATTAGCAGCGATTTTTTACTCTTTAAAATTCTGTTGTGTGTGCCTGAATGCGTTAAAACTACCTAATCTGCTTAACCTTATTCGTTCTCAGTCAATTCAAAGCGATTTAAATCATGAAGTTATGGCGGAAAGGCCAATAAGCAGAGATCACGTCGTACAATTCATCCACTGATTTGCGGAGGGACTTGGAACTAAGGCTTGTACGTTATAAATAAAAAACATGATATCTGTGGATTTAAAATCGTTTTCTGCTAATATCCGCCATACTAGACGAATAGTGAATACAAATGAATTGATATTGTCTAATGCTATAGTAGGAGGACCTTCAAAAAAACCATTATTTGCATTGAAACTGCAAAATTTAGACGATAACAGGTTCTGGAATGAAAATGTCAAACTATTGTAAAGCAATTTTTCTTTAACCAAATAAGTGAACAGTCAAAAATGCAATTGTCAAAATGTCAAGTAATTTCCTTTTCAGCAAAGATTTACAAACTTTTTCGCGTTATAATTGTTTAACAACCTGCTCTTTCAATTCTTCCACACCGGGTGGCTGGCTCAGTCCCTCCAGGCTTTCAAATCCGAAAGCGATCAAAGATTAATGAACTTAATCGCCGTGGAAATCATCTCTCGCTCCACTGAAATTTAGCCCATCCAACTAATCATTCCTCAAACGCATCTTAATCTAACGCAGACCTACCAATGAAAAGTTCACCCAAGAAACGAGCCGTTAACATGACTGGTTAGGATAAGATATTTCTGCGTATTAAAATCCATCGTATTGCCACGTCAAGAATTACCAACTAAATTCCTTTTAGAAGCGATATAATATTTAATTTTCCTGCAAACGACTCTGTTTTCTCAATAAGTCCAAGTTGACCGCAACTTAAGCCAACAAGAGAATGCAAAAACTTCAAAGCTAGCTCGTATTTCTACGGCCTGTTCGGTCACTAACCTTTTTTATGGCCCGTTCTCACATGTGCAATAAGGACCCTAATATCCGATGTATCAGTCGCTGTGGACTTGCATTCTTCATCGCTAACGCACTCGACTCCGTAACATTTAGCCGCAGATAGGAACGCCACATCACAAGTCGACGTTTTGCAACAAAGTTCAATACACGAATCCATGCTTGTTACTTTTCCCAATATCCTGAATGTGCCCGCTCCGATACCTCCCTTTAACGTCACATTCTCTTCAACAAGTGTTTTCTTACAACTTTCTAGGTAGTTTGATCCCACGACTATTGTAGACATGATACACACGAAGTATTAGTCAAACGTCATTTCAAGCACACACAACTGGATGACTGAGTAAAACTGAAATGCAACATATAAAGTTAGCCTACCTTTACAAAGCGCGTAGATGCATAACAACACAGCGCGATAGTAGATGTACAGTCGATTCCTCATCGCGCCTTTCGTCAGCCACAGCGTACCATCGTTTCAAATATTCTAAAAACTATCTAAACGAAAATTTCGGAAAAAGGGGTTTATAAAAATAAATCTGTCATTTTTTCAACTTTTTGCCATGATAAAATATATTCCTTTGTTTTGAGGGTTAAGGAACCCGACTCCATTTCTCAGAACAATAGAGTGAAATTACATCATTGATTTAATGGTTGGCCAATCGTGTCCTGAGTTGGAATCACGTGACTAGAAAGTGCAAAAATTTGCTGGGATATTTTTGATGTGACTAGAAACACAAGCATACCGTCATATAAGAGGAATTTCAGGGGAGCTACAGCAGGGATTCAGTCATGAACTGGTACCTCAAGACACCTGTGTTTTAGATGACACGGACAAAGATAAACGCCTTTTTATAAATAAAATCTGTGTTTTTTTTGTGTTTGCTTGTTTGAAAGAAAGACGGAACAAATAAAGCAAAACGGTATTTCTCCATGTTACGAACGGGATAAGCACTTCATCATTGCATGAAATTAAACATAATTATCAACAAAAAATACTGTTTTGAGTCCTCTTCGAGAACTTGAACGTCAAGGAAAGTAGTTTGAATCGCTGTAAAAACCTCTAATCTTAAATTTCAGGCTTTTTGATTCTATCAGGACGAAAGGTTAGAGCTGAGCAAGCTTCAAATCGAGTTTACACTAATTGTCTAAGACATAACTATAAGATAACTGTTTCCTCAAAATCACGTGTGTCTAGCGTCAGGTGACGTTGAATGGTTGGTTTTACAATCCCGAGAATGATTCAGCTGCAATTCATTAGCGAATTCATTCAAACCGAAACTTCAAATACCCATCTCGCTTCTCTGCGGAAACAACGAAACAAACAAACAAACAAACAAAAAAAAAACAGAACAAGCAAATAAAGACAAAACAAGCAGCAAAACAAACAATCAAAAACTTGCCTTGCGGAAGAAAAAATAGCTAAAAAAACACGAATGAAACAAACAAAATCACAAACAGACTTTTGCGTTCGCCATTCTCTAAACGGCAACAAAATCATAGAGACTTTGTTATATCTAGCAATCGAGGTATTTTGATACTGATCCTGCGCGAATGAGTGAAAGAACTTGTCGCTCTAAGAATTTACCCCATTCATGAAATTCTTCTTCAAAAAGTGTGCATTAAAAGCAACGCAATGAGGAAAGCAATCATCTACATTTGCTAGAGATCAAAATTAGGTTGAAATATACTTCCAATAGGGGTTAATGGAAAAAAATGTTGGAAGAGCTAAACTCGTCTTTTTTCTTACAATTTTTATTTTGGTGATATTCATTTTTGTGTTCCACTGATTAAAAGTTAAGAATTAAGGTTAAAGACATTCCTCGCCAATTTGGACACGGTGATACAGATTAATCAAGAATAAAAGTGAACTACAACAACATTGCAGCAATATTGGCGGCAATATGGTGAATATTTTGGCAGGAATACCGATAATGTCGATGAGGGTAACTACAATGAGGGACAAACGTGTAGAGGCACTTCCCTAAAATGGCACCCGTTTTGCAAAGTAGACATCTCTATCCCGCCCCCCTTTGTTCCTCCCCCCCTTCCCCCAAAATTAATGTTGTATTAATGTTGTAATGTTGTGTTCTTCAACTACAAACAACATTGATTCATTGAGAAGAGGGATTTATGGCCTTTAAACAGAGTTGAATATAATTAAAAGAAATTGCTGCGAGCGTTTTAGACGTGTCGGTCAACTTCTTTTGTCCCTGGTTGTAGCGAATTTGTAAAAAGATAGGCTAAAATATCAGAACAGATACTAATATGTAGAACTTTATGCTTAAACGGAGAAATACAAATGAAGAAAAAACAAAGATGCTTTTTCTCAATCGACATTCATCTGTCCGCAGACTCAAAATAACAATGAACACTGAGGCAGGTTTTAGGTAAAGTTTTAAGCATTGCAGCGCCATTGAGAACAGTACAAGAAGTGAACGAAGAAAGATTAGACCATGTGGATTATATTTGCTCAGAGTAAAATTTTACTGATGTACGCGCTTTTTGGCCGTTTGTGTTGCAGATCATTTGGAAATAAATGACATCAAGTTGTGTAAAAGACTAATTTCCAATATTTACAAAATCGTTTATTTTATTCACAATTTCTATTGTATTAAAAATAAAGCCTCATAGCCGTTTAAAATTAATAGACCTAGGATAAATTGACGGTAGATTCTGAGGACGCCTATTTTACTTCACACAGTTCCTATCTTACAGAAACGTCCGGAAAGAGTGTAGTATAGAGATGAGTCTTTAAGTCAGGTTGCCATGGTGGCAAAATTTCTGGATCTCAACAAATCGTGGTCCTGCAAATGTTGCAGAAAAAACAAATTGTCATGTATGACTTTCCCGTGCATGATTGCATCCAGGAACCGAGGCACAAAAACAGTAGCCCATACTTATTTTTTATCATTCGACAATGGGAAACTGCCCACCTACCCCTCCCTTAAGGTAACATTAACACTTACTTCTTATCTAAGGCAAAATGTTAGTGTAGGGGAGGGGTAGGTGAGCTGTTTCCCAGAGATCTAAATTGATCCAAATATTTTTGAGATCCAGACTTTTTGCTACCATGGTAACGTAACGTCACACTTCCCCCCTCTGTTGAGCTCAAAATTACGGCATTCTTACATGGTTTGCATAACAGTCGGTGTTATGGGTCGTTCATTGACAAAAACGTATGGCATTTTTCTTGATGTCCCGTCACTAGACTGTCACACAATATTCATTTTGTACAAAATCACAAGTAATCACAAGTACGTTTGTTAAGTAGAATGATTACACTTCGGCTATCGAAAGTTTTTGTTGTTCGCTTTCAATTCAAACTAGATATCTAGCTCCGTAATAACAGCTTCGAAAATGGAGTTAAAGTAGGTGTGCCCGACAAGAGTTGTATTTTAAGTTTTAACTAAGAAAGATAAAAAATAAAAATGAAAAATGTTTCGCCACGAAACCAAAGCAGAAAGGATTAAACACTTGAAGTTTCTGTACCAAGTAAGTGTATGTGAAGTCTTGTCATGCAACAAAACAAGTGAGCTTTTTAAAGTAAAACTGGGTCATTTTACAACCGCCAATATCTCGATTTCTTGTCAGTGTCATTAGAATATCAATTGTTTGTAGCCACTTCCGCCATTACGATTCCAACTTCTGCTCGCTCTTGAGTTTTTGTCAACTGCTAATTTAAAAAACTACACGGGGGCTCCCTACGTTGCACGTCTACCCCCTCACTGGCCTCGCTTGAGCTAGTGGCTACACTTCCATCCCTGGATGATACCTCTTATTTGTCTGGAATGATCATTACAGCTTATCACTAATATGAGCCATTTTAAAAGCTAAGAGGTCTCAGAATGTGAGGTTCTTTTTGTTTTTCTTCTTTCAGAACGTCTGGTCTCCTTTTTCTCCGCCACTTTCTCCGCTTCCACTATCTCCACTATCCTCTTCTTCTCCGCTTTCACCGCTACCCTCTTCTCCGCTTTCTCCACTAGTGTCGTTCCCAGATTCCTCTCTTTCAAGGTTACCACTTCCGCTCTCCCCAGACCCACTATCAGCGTCCTCCCCACTTCCGCTTTCATCTTGCAAATCATCACTACTACCTAAAAAACATTTCAATTCATTTTCATTTTTGTTTAGAAACGAGTTCAGTTAAAGGAGGTTTGTAATGAGGTTAAAGTCACTGAGATTTTATATAGGGATATAACTAATGAACAACTGACTAGGTAAACATCATTGAGTAGTTCATAGTGATTTCAACTTGTTATTCAGAAAAGTTATGATCTGCATTCAGATAATTCTCAGCACGTTTTCTGCCTCTTACCCAGGCGATTTCTAGCTGATTGTAGAGCGATTCGAAGGCGACTGGAGCTATTATAGGTTCCGCGCTAGGTATCATGGGAAAGGCGTCCTTTCCAGCGTCCTTTGCGCCAACGCTAAACGTTCCTATGGTCCATTGCGCGATCTATCGCTCGCAGTCTCGTTTTCCGTTTTCCAAACACACTTGAGACCATAGGAACTAGGCAGGCACGTTTTTACCAAGGGAGCCGCTATCGTATTCTGCGATTTATACTTCGGATACGCACAGACACGTGCACGGACTCGCTGGTCGCCGGAGCTTCTATTTTCGCGGGAGAAAGTACTCTCAAATATGTGTCTAACGGTCAATGTCATACATATGCCTCATTCAATAGAAGTTGCTGTTGGCATTGGGCAATTGCACATTGGGAAGCTATTGTTTGGCGCGGATCACTCAAACAAATCATTGCAGCAGTGATTTCCGTAAGCCAAAATATCGGTGCCCAATTGCCTAAGTAGCCATTTTTGAATTTGGTATAAATGCGCACATACTTTCTTCTGTTTCTTCTTTTTCATATTGTATTGTATCGTTCTTTATTGTTTGGTCACCATTGTTTGTTTCTCCGCTGCCACTTTCTGTAGCCTCTTTGTCTTCTGTCTCGACATACTCCTCTTCTACGTTTTCTTCAAGATTTGGATGGAATCTTCCAATTAAAGGCATTACACCTTCTGGCTTGGGTTTTGGAGCTGTAATTAAAAAAGTGTTATCAAAGAAAAGCTCTTTTCAATCAAATTCCTTTTCAGAGTGTGGAGAGGGAGGGTTGCAGTTTTCTTTTCAGCCTTCCTACCCAGTCCCCCTTGGGGCTTTGCGATGTACTCTGTTGGAAAGGAAGGGTTTACTTGACGAAGGCGTGAGGTTCGCGTGGAAAGTTACTGATATTTACACAGGGCATAATGGTAGGGCCTAGAAAAAACTGCAAATGTTAGCTATGAACAGACGCACAAGCGTTTGCTCTAAACAACAGCGAGGGAAGCACCGTTGCCGAGAGGTTTGTGCGCTTGAATTCGGAAGCCCTGAGTTCAAGGCCTGCCCTGAGGGCTGGTTGAATTTGTTCTAGCCTGTATACAGACCCCCCCCCCCCAACCTTACCCTCAGGAAAAATCGGAAATCTCCTGAGGGGAGGGGGGGGGAAGGTTTGTACACAGGCTAGATTTGTTCTTGATAGTCCCGAGTTCAACGTGTCGGTCACGCTTGTAAATAACCAACTGGTTTGCCTCCGGTCAGTTGGGATTTTTAACTCTGTTTTCCGTAAATGCATCGCTAGCATCAATGTTATAAATACTGCCGAGGATAAACAAAGGACATTATGAACATTATCATTATTACAGCGTCGATATGAACTGCCTGGGTAAGGAAAAGGGCTGTACACATGCGTATTAGAACCTGGTATGCACTGCTGAGTACCAACCATTTCCTCCTTTAAATAAGGAGAAGATGAATAAAAGATTGAATGAGCAGGTATAGTTAGAGGTTAGTGGCTGGTTCAGTAGCTAGGCTGGTATTCACAGGGGCCCAGATCAAAGCTGAATAACAAGCAGATACACGTCTTACCAAAGCTGATATCTCCTCTCTTAACATACGCCACTGTAGGGTTCGTATGATGAGTCTCCACAGGAGCTGGCTTAGGTTCACAGTACTGCGGGTCTGTACAAAACACTGAATAACATTTTCCCGCCATCATCATGGCCACGTGACATTTCTTGTGACCACAGCAGCGTTCAATGCATGACGTAATGTCCTTGACGCCTTTGTGGTGAGTCAGCTTGCCGGAAAGCATGCCTGCTTTGAGAACCGTCTTGTTTCTTATCTCGCCGTCTAATTTGCAAATTTCCTCCGTATTCTCGTCTGTTCTTATTACAGGGGTACCATCTGAATAATGGAAAGAATTAAGAAGGGAATGTTTGCAAAGACATGGACATTTTTTGATAATTTGGGTTTTTTAATGGGCCTCTTGCCTGTGAGTAGACTCACCTGTGCGAGTTCGAGGAAAATTTTGGCGAGGATTTTCCTCGTGCGGTGGCAGTTCTGCCGCCAAACTTTTCCTCGAATTCGCACAAGGGAGTCTGCTCGCAGGCTAATGGCTCTAAGTCTTTTATAACAGAAATTGTGAGTAGTTATAAACAAGCATGGAATGAAAAGAGGAAAATCTGAATAAGAGAGAAATGTTCTGATGTGACAAGGGGAAACGACATATTTATAGACAGCATGAGGTTATGATTTTTAAACATAATGAATAGGCCATTTCCTAGTTCCTAAAACCCTCACTTTCAAAACAAGGATAAGTGCAAATCTTTCTTGTGTTAATGAGTTTTATTTGCACGAGAATAAAATTTTTTTTCACGAAAATAGCTTCGCACCTTTCCTTGCTTTGAAACAGAGACAAGGGACAATTCAAAAATGGCCTATTCCAAAAAAACTGATTGTTTCAATCTCATTATATTGTACTTGAAATTTTGCTTTGAAAATCAATAAAATGTTGACTATTGTTGGTCTTACCATCTCTCAGCCTGATTCCATAGTGTCGCTTAACGATGTACTGTATAGATCTATCAAATGAACTGTTTGAGCGTATCGCCTCCACATCCGGGATAGTACGACAGCTTCTCTCACTATTACATCTGACAAGGAAGCACGTGCGGCTAAACATGTACGCCAAGTCACAGGTAGGATCCTCGCAGCACAAGCGGGAACAAATATGGGAATTAGAGACTCGCCCCACGTCTGTAAAGCGTCCGGCGTTTGAACCATCCAATAGAACAGATTTAGTATAGAGCTTGCTCTGAATGCACTGCAAATGATGCGGGGACTGCCCGGAGGGAATTTTTACTGAAAAGGAATGAGGCTGAGTCAGCAAACGGCTTGAATCAATCTTAGGGTGACAACATTCTTGGTTAAGATGGTCTTGACCTGAGAAAATAGCCGACATTTCGTGACGCCACCACTAGTTTCCCCGCGAACTGACGTCTGAGGAACGAGTGGTGAAATTTCACACTGATGACGTGTCACTTTCCAGATCTGGGCACCGCTTCTGGTTGGGGAAGAAACCAGATCTGGCTTATAGTTCTGATTGGTCTTGTCGCGAGGAAAATTGAAGCTTAGCCTTAGGATTAGAAAGAGAACTTTTAATACAGACCTTAAGCCACTTTTTCATGCGGTTAAGCACTTTTACCTTACGTCGGTAGAACTTGGTGCAAAGCTCTCTACCAAAACGCTGGGTTGGGTAAGTTCTACCCAGGCACTTTGGGTGAATCTGCGCATGAGCGAATTTGGCAACATTTACTTACCGACTTTTTTGCCCTTTTTATAAAGCCATGGTGCTACAAACGCCATTTTCTGTTTAAAAGCGTGGTCTACAGGCCTGGCGGGAAGCGCCTGACATCTCTCCTCCGAGAAGCATTTCACCAGGTAACAGCGATCAGATATCATAAAGGCCAGGTCGCATGGCTGCACTTTGGACTCACAGCAATACCTTATCAAGGAGAGAAATAACAGGTTTTGTAAACACACCAACCATTGTGAATTTCTGTGAATCATGTGGAAATGAAGACAAATGCGTTTTAATCTTTTTACTTAATACTTTTATTTGTTATTCTCCTGCGGTGTTCAGTTTTCAGAGTAAAATTGAAGAGGTTTAAACCTGGAATTCATGTCAGTAGTAGGTTGAATACGATAGTTCACCAGTTTTGATGGTATTTAACTTCAGTTCCCTCATTAGGCAGTTAGGTTTCGGTTCATTGAGTTGTTTGATAGTAAAGCCGTAATGTTTTTATCTGTTTTAGTAATGTGTTTTGTCGCAACCTTCTTATTTGTCAAATATACAGTAAACGCTCTCTAAGATGGACAACTTGGGACCGCCACCAAGTGTCCGTCTCAGAGCGTTGTCCGTCTTATAGAGAGTCAAATAAAGGAAGTAAAGACAGGCAGGGACCAACTCTGCGTGTTCGTTTTACCAAGGAAACCGCGGCAGTGCTAGCTCAGTCGGTAGAGCGTGTTTGACTGCAGAGCGGGAGGTCGCGGGTTCGATTCCTGGGGCCGGACCAATACTCAGGGTCTTAAAATAACCGAGAAATGAAGGTACTCCCTTTGCACTGCAACAGGCTAGACCTTCGCGTGGCTCGGATGACCACTTAAAATGGTGGTCCCGTCTCCAGTTGGAGACGTAAAATATAGTATCCCCAGTTAGTACTTTCGTACTAAATACATTGACACTCAAATAAAAGTGCTTTTTTTTTTGAGTTCGTCCCCCATAGAGGTGTCCGTAAAGAGAGTGTCGACTGTAGAGCCATTTGATTGTATGAAAGGCTGACAGTATATTAATGTCTAGGCACAAGTCAGTAGATTACCTGATACATGTTTTAATACTTTTAACTTTGCCAATGTCAGTGAATTTTCCAGCTTTCAATCCACCCATTAGCTTCACATTGTACATGATCTCGTTGTGCGGACACTTTGCTTCGGAATCGTAGCTATCTAAATTGTCGTTTACTGGAGCCTCGGCTGCAAAGAGAAGAGAAAAAGGTTTATTCAGTCGCTATTTTTTGTGCCAAGTTAAGTTACGAAAGATCCTGGACTCTATTGGCCACTCCAGAAAATACCATAACATACCATAATGTTCTTTGTTTGTCGCCCCAAAATTTTGCATAAGCATTGTCTTCAGTTTCTCTTGGGAGTTAAAATGGCCCCAAGAGAACTGAAAACAATGCCTATGCAAACTTTTTGGGTGACAAACAAAGAGCATTATGGTACGTTATGGTATTTTCCGGAGTGGTCAATTGCAGCTGCCTACAGGTACTGCCATTATAGCATATAAGCATCAACCTATACACGACGATGCTCAGGCAATGACGTTAGAGCATTAAATGGAAAAGCGTTATGTTAAAGAACATGCAGTGGAGAGCTGGCCTTATAGTCATAAAGCACGCACGCCAAAAGGATCGTACGGTATTTTCTGCAAAAAAAGTCAAATTACAGCAAAATTGGCAAACTTTACAGACTATGCCAAATCAAGAAACAAGTAATCGGTGAGTCAGCCAAATACTACAAGGCACTTTTTAAAAAAATTCCGAAACGCCTCCCTTTTTTCCAGTTTGCTTTGACGAGTTCCAATATCAAGTTGAAACATTCTTTTTCGCATCCTGACGGCTCATTGTACATTAAACAGAGGAGCCGAGGCGGAAATGAAAGTGCCCTTGTTGACTTGGTCGATCATTTTGACATTGTTCTACTGATTTTGATAGATTTTGTCCCCATTTTGGCAGTTTTAAAACTATGTTAATATTTCCGATCCAAGATGGCATAAAAGTGGCTGCATTTGGTATCGTTGAGTTAATTCCACTCCACATTACTTCATAAAATCACATAAACTACCCCAGCTTCAGCATTTAGCCTTTTAAGATTTGAAAGATTAGGCTAGAGACAGGTTAGGAGGTGTTTTCAAAGCAGAGCCACCCTAATTCATTTTACGATGCCTCAAGGGGGCTATGTAAACACATACTTAGCTGTCCTGTTCCTTTAGTTGTCATATGAGCAATCTGCATATCAATGTCTTCATCGTCAGCTGGAATTGTCTCGCAGGAAGAATCGTTCAGACACTGCACGCTAAAACACTTTGGCCCATGCATCATGGCCACGTCACATTTTTTGGAGTTGCAGCACAAGTGCATACATTCCTGCATGTTTTTCACCTGCCCTTGATCTTTAAATATGCCTGCATATTGACCACCTCTTAAAGTCACGTTGTACTCAATGTCTTCTTGTCCACAGCTGTACTCTTCTAGAATCGTATGTCCTGAGATTACTGAAAAATAACAGGATGGGCGGAAATGAATGTTAGACTGCAAATCTACTAGGGAGGAGGGGAAGGGGGTGGCACTCGGTAGCTCGTGGAGCCAACACAGAAGACTATTTCCATTACGAAAATTTTTCTTAAGCAAGAAAACAACCGCTTTCGTTTCGCATTAAAGAATATTCAGCAAATAATAACAAGGTGCAAGGTTTCCAAGATTTTTTGTCTTTCATATTACCGTAGAGTTGTATTTGTAGCGGCTGCTAAATGTAAAAAGAAATACTGACAAGAAACTTACTGCCAAAATGTCAGCGAAATTTTTGAGTGACGAAAAGGATGTTTTGAGTCAAAAGCGTGACATGTACTCACTTTTACCTAACATCGTTTAACGCTTCCTTAAGTTTATATTTTCCTTAGATTTTACTTTTTGAAACACGAGCAACTCTTCTGTCAGTTCACTATCTTTATCCTTGCGTTCTCTATTTAACGTAGCTTTAACTTGTAAATCTCAAAAAGTATATGGTTTATCTTTTGGCAATCACGACAATGAAAAGAACTATTAAATTGCTTGATAGTAATTATTTCTAAACCTGTGTTAATTAAGTCTCTCTCTTGGAGGGGCAATGTTGTAGGGTTATGGGTAGAAAATGTAGCTCTTTTGAACTGAGTTTGATCGAGAAGTTCTATATAAGCCTTAACAAAATTCTCAAATCTGATTGGTTCTCAACTGCCCTGATTTCAGCCTTAATAGGACAGTTTAATAGGACAGTACGCGTCATGCCTAAGTAATTGGACAGTACGCGCCATCACGCGCGCGCTTAAATGGCTTTTTTTTTTCATAGCTAGCGGAAAAAATCTTGGAATTTCTTGTGTTTTGATTTAAAAAGAGCCCTATATATCACAAATTTTGTTAAAGTTATGATTAATTGGTAACAGAACTTCGTGTCGTCCAATTCGGTCTGTAATCATACTCGTGATTAAACAAATCGGACTCCCGCTCCGGCGGTCGTCCGATTTTGTTAATCACTCGTATGATTACAGACCGAATTGGACTCCACTCAGTCCTGTTACCATTACTAATCATAACTATAACAAAATTGTCAAATCTGATTGGCTCTCAACTGCCCTGATTTCAGCCTTAATTAGACAGTTTAATAGGACAGTACGCGTCATGCCTAAGTAATTGGACAGTACGCGCCATCAAGCGCGCGCTTCAATGCCTTTTTTTCTCACTGCTAGCTAAACAAAATTTCAAATTTCTTGTGTTTTGGTTTAAAAAATAGCCTACTGTATCACAAATTTTGTTAAAGTTATGATTAATTGGTAACAGAACTTCGTGTCGTCCAATTCAGTCTGTAATCATACTCGTGATTAAACAAATCGGACTCCCGCTACGCGGTCGTCCGATTTTGTTAATCGCTCTTATGATTACAGACCGAATTGGACTCCACTCAGTCCTGTTACCATTACTAATCAACTCAAACTGGTAAAATAACGGAACAAGACGAGTGCCAATTATTCAGTTAATACCCTTCTAAGCAGAGGACTAAGGTCTTCCTCGCAGAAACGAAGAAGGGCCGAGACCTTTCTCTAACCAACTTCTTCAAAATATTCATTTCAGTATATGCAAACAATTCCTAAGAAAGGAAGCTTCTGCAGTCGCTCTAAGAGTTTTGTGATCTTTGATTTGAGTAGCTCGGAATAACGGACAACGTCCTTCGCCCCCACTAGCAAAATAGGACATCTCCTCTTTGCCCTAAGCCTCTGTTTCAAAGGGAGGCTAATTGCAAAGCCATTGATATGAGAATGGTTTTTAGTTACAAGCAAATAAAACTCATTTTCACAAGAAAGGTTTGGCACTTATTCTCGTTTTGAAAGTGAGAGTTTTACAACGGAGCCCAATATAACGTACCCTTGTTATCAAAGAACAATTCCCTGTCTCCGATCACTCCGTTACATCTGTTTCGCAGTTCGTTTTTGGCACGAGGCGCCTGTAAAGCGTTATGCTTTTTTTTATGGTCAAGCATGAGAAATCAGATGACATTGCGTGAAACGGGTGGCTGGAATCATTGTATTACGATACACTAGAGCTTTATGTGTTTCTTTAAACTTAACTATGAAATTCGAGTTTTACTGAGGAATATGAATCAGGAATAGTTCATACTTTTAAGGCTAAAAATTTTTAGAAGGGCTTCAAGAGGCAGCAAGTAAACGATTGAATAAGCATAGACATTTCACTTACCTGTTAAGTAAGACAGAAAGATGGCGGACACGAAGAGCCACTTATCGCTTCGTGATCTTCGCGAACAGCAAATAGTATCAAACATTTCCATTGTATTGCATAGAACGCCACTATGAAAAGGTTAGAATTAAGAATCCTATACGTAGCACTTATAAACTAAATATTAAAACAATTGTTTTGGCAAAAAAGGCCAGTAGTAGCAGGGATGTAGATTGATTGTTTGATGACCTAACACGGCAAAAACGCAACCTGTCACTTAACAACGCTGGAAGCCAATCAGAACGCGCGCTTTGTCGGTTAAGATCATAACCTCACCTTTATACAACACAGAGTTAAAAGTACGCACAAGACAAGTTTTGAGTCAAAAAGATGTATGTAGGACTCGGGGTTTTCTTTCTAAACTGCTTTCCTTTTCCTCTAACAAAGGATTGATATATTTCCTAGCGTCAGCCTGCTTTTCGCCAGGGCTAAAAACTATTTATTAAAACTAGCAAAGTATAAAGATGGTTTGTTGATTCGATGAACTAGTAAACTGACTTATTAGCCACATGGTGTGACCATTTAAATACAGTGGAAGCCCACTTCTAACTGAAAAGTCAGAAAAGGATTTGATCCGGAAATATAATTATTATTATAATAATTAGGATGAACGTTTTTTTAATGAGAACATGGGGTTTTATGTAAACTTCTAGAGAAACCAAGTAGACGCATTTGGTTTATGAAAACAAACACAACACCGCCGGCGAACGAAAAACACGAAAACTGAAAACGAGTTTCTTAAGAGAGAAAAAGAAGAAACAAACCATTGTAATCTTTTGACCACTGCTTACCTTGTGCAGCATGTCATACACGAGTCTTACCAGTTTGAAGCTACGCAAATATTTCAGCGCTCTTCATGTCATTTTGTGGTTAGATTGAGCGCTGACTCTTTTCTCGAACAATTTTGCCTTCTCGTAAGGTTGTTAACTAGTGTGAAAACTTCCTTTAAAATTAGGGCATTCAGAATACAAGTAAACTTCGACGCTTGAACAGGAAACATCACCAGAGTTTCACAATTTAATATTTGCATAGCTACGGTTTATCAGCCTCTGTTATTTGGAATAAAACACGCATTTAAAGAACAATACATTGAACCAATAATTAGAGAATACAATGCTCTGGGAACGTTTGTGAAGCTGCTCAAGACACTCAGAGCACGTGTTTTGTCAAGTGTAAAGATTCACGTGCAACAAACTCGAATTTTTTTTTATTTTAAACTTGCGGTTCGTTTTTTGAACATGACTTAGTTTTGTCAACCTGTAGTTGCCTTTTGGATTTCTCTTTTCCCCTCTGACCAAAAAAGTATTTATGATTGTTCTTATTGGCACGGAAGCTTGATCTCATGAAGAGCATTGATCACGTGAGCCAAGGCATAGCAGAACCTTTCTGCAGTACTGACTAAGACAACGATGATGATGACGATGATTTTTATTCTTTCCTTGGTTATTCGCCGGTTTTTGATCTTGATGATTGTTGTACGCTAGTGTATTAGAGCAGTGTCCACACGGCTTTCAGTATTGGTTCGGCTCCGGAGATCGAACTCCCGATCCCCGCTCCAGCTAGTCTGTGCTAGACCAGTAGGGACGTCACCAAAATAGGCCAAGAAAAAAAGAGACGCGCGTGGTCTGGTGAAGAGGTTGGTGGCGGAAAAAGAAAGAGCTGCCTCTTCTCCTCTCTGGGCGTCAGTTTTCGCATCAGCTGTTTCGAAATCTGCGCACGCGCCTTACAATCTTGGAGCCTGAAAGAGTTTACGGTCCAGCACTACCGACTCAACTAACCCTGCCAATCGACTATATGGTCTAATAGCGCTGCGCGCAGTTATTATTTATAGACCCGAAACTCAGACAAACAAACTCAAATTAACATTAGCGAATTCCTCACTTTTGTCTGTCTTTTGTCATTAAAATGACATGTTTGTCTGCCTTTTAACATTAAAATGGGAAAAATGACAAAACCCAGACAAAAATGGCAAATTAGTCACTCTGGCGTCATTCGCACGCACGCTACTACATTTCGCTCTCGACATAAAAAGCAATTATCGAGTGAAGATGATTGGTGTAGAAAAGTCGCCCTATTTTTTTTGCCCAATCAATGGATCGTTTTCACATGACGTCACGGCGGCAATTGGTGCACGAAACAATGAAACGGCTGCCATGTTGGTGTATAGAAAAAATCCTGTGAGTATTTAACTCTTTTCTACTGCAAAAAAAAAACTTTATTTTGTTCCAAGAAATTTACATAGCTGCTAACCACGTGAGTGAAAAAGATCTATTTTGGAACCCGTCTCGTCTCGCCAAAGGCGCCGGCAACATACTATTGCTTCAAGCTCTGCTTGATTCAGTTCACTTGTTGGAATTATCTGGGTTTTTAGTTGGTAGAAAAAACTTGCTTTGGTTTTGGTTTTAGGAAAGTCGATGGAAAACTTCTCCTGAAAGATATTGAAGAATGTGCTGATTCAAAGTTCAACATTGGGCTCTTGGACTAATTCTGTTTTCACTCACGTTACCAACATCTATGCAAATTTACTGGAACAAAAGAAAGCGTTTACATAAGAAAAGAGTTCAACTTCCACAGGACTGGTTTGGGAAACAAACATGTCCGCCGTTTCATTGTTTTGGGACACAAATATGGCCGCCATGACGTCATGTGAAAACACAATTTATAGTCACTTCGTAACTCTTCTCCTGCAAATCTCCATACACGGGCACGGAATGATGTGCGATATATAACCTTTTCAATTACGTGGCCTGCATCTAGGCAAATTTATTCGAACAGAAGAAAGATTTTACATAGCAAAAAGGTTCAACTTCCGTGGGATTGGTTTGGGACACCAACATGACGTCACGGCGGCCATATAGGTGTCCCAATACAATGAAACGGCGGCTACTGATGTTTGTGTTCCAAACAAATCCTGTGGGAGTTGATCTCTTTTCTTATGTAATCAATTTTTTTTGTTCCCCCAAACTTGCATAGATCCTGGTTTAAGTTAAAAATAAGTGGTTTAATTTTTCCATGCTTTATGGCGCAAAAGTTAACAGTGTACTGGAGTTGAGTAGCTTCTATTAAGTATTCTGTGCAAAGCGCGTGCTTTAACATTCGAGCTTATAGTAATAGTTTAAAACCCAAGGATCGTAAACCAATTCTGCCTTTAACGCATGTTGTTAACAATGCCTCAACAGTCACTACCCCGAATAACCGCCCGAGTCATTTAAACTTTTGAAGCTTATTTCATTTAGATCCCAGCCCCTTCGCCTTCCTGGCAAGTCCGTTCGTAGGCCTCACTTGAGATTTTTACACTTTTGGTTCAAAATCCCCCGTTCTTCCTAGCGGAGAAGGTCAAATTCCACATTTGGAGTCAACTTTCTTGGTAAGGACAAGGAACAAATGCCCGGAATGATGCTGAAGTGTCGAATTGATCAGCCCGAGGCCTTTTTTACCCTTCCTTTTCGTATCCTTCCTGTACATGTTTTAGAAACAACAGTGACTCAACATCTGCAGTCAAACAGTCATTAAAGATGCGCTAAGATTTTCATCAATGGGGGTAACAGTCAAAATTCATGTATTATTACGACATAACAGGATGGCGAAAAAAAAATTAACAAGGCAAATAGCACATCATATATAAAGCACATTTCGCTGAATTGAGCACGTTAATTTGGTGCCCGTTCATTCATTCACGACTTTCACTTCAATATCGAATTTTACTCAAAAAAGGAAAAGAACACAAATGAACCAAATCTAAAAAGAAAAAACTTTATTATTTTTTAAAAGACATTTTACATTTCAGTAAAAAAGATACAAAAATAGTGTTTTTATCAAAATAAAGGCTTCTACTGTTTATATGACGTTAGCCAAGCTATATAGGATTAAGACCACTGCACGCCGGTCCAGCTAAAACGGCACAAAACACTTTTATTCCGTCCAGGAAAACAGAGATTTTTTCCCCTCCTAAAAGGAACAGAAAAGAGACAAGCGGTTAATTAGATATGGTGTAAACGGTAATTGTAAAAGTAAGCTGCAGACAAATCAGTCCAAACAAGGGCTTATTGTGTACTGATCATTAGTATTGAGTCGAATCACACTGTAGCGCTATTTGAGGCTGTGTTCACACTATTCCGGATGATTTCGTTCTGATACGAAAAGCTATCCGCTATAGTGTGAACAGCAACGGCACAGAACTGGAGCAAGTCGTTCACACACATCGATCATCGTGCCGGAGCGGTTGGCCAAAAAGGTTTGGTGAACTAAATCCCAGTCCTCACTCTTGAATATTTGCTTCCGTCTGGCAGTTGGTCCAGTCCTCTTTGCTACTTATTCACGTCCTCTACGGTCCGAATACCTGTTCACACTGCACCACACTGTGGCACAGACCCTATCCGATATGTGACTCTCCACTTTCGAGATCAGCGCAGCGCAGCTTCGCTCCGTCACAGAAATGCAACCGAAATCACTGTTTTTATGTGTGAACAGAAGTCCTATCCGGTGTGGTTTTAGTGCCGACGCAAAAGCTATCGGATATAGTGTGAACATAGCCTCAAGGAAGTGATCTCCTCTTTCATTGGCTGATGCAGTTTGCGCAGAAAACTGCATCGAGTTTCCTTCACCAAAAAATCCCATAATGCAATGTGAAAAAAGACTCCTACCCAGTCTCAAGCGAACTACAAATTATATAGACTTAAAAACAAAACGGTGATTTACCTCAGCTATATCAAGACCCGCCAGTCGGGCTTTTCTTCTATGTCGTATCACACACAGCACAGTGCCGATAACAATAAGCAAACTCGCTGTCGTCACCGCTACAAATGCTCCCATCCCAGCTGAAAGCGTCGCTGGCTTGGAGCTATCTAGCATAGTGTGGTGATCTAAGAACAACAAAGAATTTGTCCATTAGTCGAGGTGGTAGTAGAGAAACCGTCTAGGTTTTGCTGTTTTTTTTTCAAGACTTGGATTAGGCTTAATAGAGGCTGTCTTGACTCGACGGCGGGGTCAGTTGGATTGGCAAGTAGTAATGATTAGTGAACACAAAGAAACGTTGACGATGACCAATTGTGAATAGTTTGGGTTATCTCCTTTTCTAACGCCCCACGTCAGGAAATCCAAGTCAGTCTTGATCCTGGATTGTACGCTATGGAGTCTGGATTCTACACACTGGTACCCAGATTCCTTGTCAGCGGAACTTGGATTCGGGATCCCTGTGAGCTGAATTCTAGATTCCAAGGCCAAGAACTCTGGATTCCGCAACTAAAATTTCCCAGATTCCGGAATCCGTGTTACCTTTTATGGAGCGATTTGTTGCATTTTAAATTTTACTAGGGTGGAGTGGGGAAGGAGAGAAGTATTTGCTGATGAACGTAAATAACAAGATTCTTCAAGAATTGCATAAGAATTTATTTGAACTTACCAACACATGTTTTGTTGTCTTTAGTCAGCCAGTATCCTTTCAGACAAAAGCAATTATAACTTCCTTTGGTGTTGTTGCACAATTGTGAGCAGTCGTGTGGCGTCTCTGAGCACTCATCTATGTCTAAACACACAAAGTGAATAAAATAAGTCAACTAGAAAACAGAGGAAAAAAGTAGTATTATGCTGCGTAGCTTTCGGATGGTCGGATGAAGGGCCCAGCATCTCCTTTCTTTAAAGTTGGACGGCTTGTATTAAGACTGGCACAACGACCAAATTTTTAAAGTGCCCTTCTGTCGCATCTCCAGTCTTGCAATTGGTTTATTTACGCCTTGAAGTGACGTCTGGTAAAAACATCTCAATAAATCGAGGTCCGAAAACAATAAGTACCGGTGAAGTTTTATTTGGCGTTAGGTGGTTCACTGCATTCAAGATTTTCACATGCCTATAACACATGTCTCGCTTAATAGCACGTAAAAGCTTTTAAGAATAAAATGTGTCATTCACTGTTGATCGTTCGAATCCCCTAACGAGGTGAGTGTAGCTTGTTCCAGGCTTCAAGATAGTAGGGCAGTCGTGCAGTGAAAAAGCGATGCAAAAAAACGCGCGAGGGTTCCTCCCATTTTTGTCCCGCTACAGCCCCTTTTCCCAAGATCGCGCACGCCTTACTTTGCTTGGTTTGTTTTATTTTCACGACGTCCCTACTATCGACAGCCTGGGACAGGCTAGCTTAGTTATTTATCGGGGCAATTCGCAAGCATCCCTGAATAAGTCACAGATAACGCCTCCAAAAAACAGGATTTTCGTACCTGTACATGTTCTGAGGTCCGCTAAAAGCCTGTATCCTGATTTGCAGCTGCAGGTAAAGCTGCCTGCTGTGTTGTGACAAGTGTGATCACAAAAATGGCTGCCTAAAGTGCACTCGTCCACATCTGAAGATGTCAGACAAAATTAAAATGTAAGTCAACGTGATCACTTTATAAGGAGAGCAAGGACTGTCTAATTCCAAAACAAGTTTCGTCTTAATGGGAGTTCGATTTAACTCTCTCAATGAAATGCGTTCTGTTTGTGTTATGTTGAAGGCTTTCATTTCCAAATGAGGTCAGAATTATACAAAATAGTTATTAAGGAAAACATAACCATATCAAAGAACATTGAAATAATTAAACTAAATAACTATATAAGAAAAGTACCTTGGCAAGCCTTCCTGTCTCTCTCTAGTATAAATCCGGAATGACATTCACACCGGAAGCTGCCATGTGTGTTAACACACACCTGCTGACAGTCATTACTGCTGGCGCTGCACTCATTGAAATCTAGAAGTGTTTAGAGGGATATGTTAACTTCTTATGACCTTCGTTCAATGTAGTGAATATAACATAAGAGGTAACACTGCTAAAAAAGATGATGGTATGTACCTGTTACTGTAAGAGTCGCTCCCGCAGTAGCGCTGCCGGCGGGATTTGACGCAACACAGCGGTACATCCCTTGATCTGTGAAATTCACGCGACCAATAACCAGGGACCCGGTCGGTAATATCCTAAACCTATCCTCAGAGGGGATGGGTCGGTCTCCGTTTGGTCCTGACGCCCACGCAATGTGAGGAGGTGGGTGACCACGGGCCCTGCAGTGAAATATCCCAGATTTGCCCTGGGCCACTGTAAGATCTTTAGGGCCATGTGTTATTGTTGTTGGAACTACAAAAAAATGAAAGAAAGTTGTCAATTAAAGTTAAATATTGTCGACAATAAATGAAGGTTGGAAAAGAAGCGCATGAATATTCCCTAATTCGTTTAGTAGAGACCGTTTCGAGCATAAGACGGAGCATCCCCACGATTTTACCAGTAAAGTAAGCCGTTGGCTGTTTGAAGTAGTTATTGGACTCAGCATCTGTGATTTTTGCCATACATTCGAGCCTGCTGCAAGCCATTACCACAAAATAGTAGATTTTAACACCAGGTCTCTCTTCTGAGAAGAGATCCAGACAAACGGTGGCCCCATGTATTGTCGCTAACAGTTCTTCGCATTCTCTGAATATCAAAGTATTCACAGCGAATATGGAGACCAGAGCTGGAGTCAGGTATTCACTTACAAGAGATTAAAAGCAATAGAAAGATAAAAAAAATAATACTGTCACCCCACAAAGTGGTCGTGGTCGGTAACGAGAGTTGTTCGCCTTTAAGAGGTTCCAACAACAGGGCTTTTCCGGGAAAGTTTTGGCAATTTGGATAGATGCTCGTCTATGAGAAATTGTGTCTTAAGAGAGCTGGATGCAAATGGAGGTTAGACTAGGCTGGAGGCAAAGGAATTGCTGCTTACTTTCCAGTCCGGCTACTGACGGGTGATCTTGGTCCTTTTTAGATCCCACCTCTGTGATATCTGAAAATAAACAATCCATTTACTCTTTACTCCAATAACAACACCCAGTGTATTTGAGTCTACGCACAAAATGTTGAGCTGGTAGTTGTTTTTTTTTGCAAACAGTCATAAAATCTTAAAATTGACCTTGAACTAAGAAAGAAGCAGTGTAAGAAAAATACCTAAACAGCGTCGTTTGTCGGTTGATAACTGATAACCGTCATCGCACGAACACTCGTAACTTCCAGGGGTGTTATGACACGAGTGAGAACAACTATGAACACCCAATAAACACTCATTCAAGTCTGAAATAAATAAATAATTAAATAAACCAATGAATAAATAGATATATAAATACTTCATAAAAAAGGAAAGAAGACACATTTACTGGGTAGACAACAGAAAAGGTATGTTCTTTTAAAGTGGTTGCGCAGTGCAATTTTTTCGTTCACCTTCGATCTCGTTGGACAGATTTACATCGCTGCAGCTGTACTCTATTCTAATTGTATTAAACCATTTTTGAAAGTTTTCGCGCACTGATTTTTCTTTTTAATCCATTGACCCATTGCAAAGAGGAAAATCGCTTGATTAATGATTGACCTCAGTGAAAACACTTCTACATAGTTCAATGTTTTGTAGGATGAATAGAGTAACAGTGAAAGCAATATTAGCAGAATTTACCGTCACAATGCCGTTGGTCTCTAGTGAGCATAAATCCACTGCGGCACTCGCACCGAAAACTTCCTTCGTCATTGACACATTGATGCTCACAACCATGAGTATTATCTCTACACTCATTGACGTCTACAAAAATAAAGAAAAAATAAAATAAAATAAAACCATCAATGAAAAATTGATTTGCAATACAAATAAACATCTCTACCTAATTATTACAAATGTATGTCAAAAAGTGGACTACTTAACTTTTGCCTTAGTTATGATTTGTCTTGTTCTAAAATATGGAACTGTACTCTTAGATTTGTTAAAAGTTTTCTATAGGATTACCAAGCTTTTGAACGATCCGGTCATATTGAAGTCGAGGCTGGAACAGAGCGCACTTTGGGATTGTTTTGGAAACGCTATCGCTTCTTTCATTGGCTACTATTACGAAGTTGCGCTCAAAACTGGGTCAGAATAGGCGATTTGCATGATGACGTCCTTTGGATTGACTACTACCACCAGAATCCTTCAGAATTTTTCTCTCTTAGGCAAATTAGGGCTATTGTTATTTAAACCTCGCTGGGATAGTCAAATGTAAATATAAAAGGAAAAACGAAATGGCTTCTGGTAGTGGTAGTGGTAGTGGTAGTTGTAGTGGTAGTGGTAGTGGTAGTGGTGGTGGTAGTGGTAGTGGTAGTGGTAGTGGTAGTGGTAGTGGTAGTGGTAGTGGTAGTGGTAGTGGTAGTGGTAGTGGTAGTGGTAGTGGTAGTGGTAGTGGTAGTGGTAGTGGTAGTAGTAGTAGTAGTAGTAGTAGTAAAATGACGCTATCATGCTAATGGCATATTCATTCCCCAATATTGCTCGACAGTGCAATTCCACGTAAGACTGACCCAGTCTCAAATATAACCTCACAATGGCCTATCCATAAATCCGAGCACTTTGTACGCAGTTCTTTCTTTGCTAATTCTAATTACCTTCACAGTGTCTTCCGTTTGATGCCAACATGTAACCATGGTGACACATACAGCGGTGTCCCCCATCCGAGAGATTAACACAGTAGTGTTGGCAGCCATATCTCTTTGCCAGGCATTTCTCTTTACCTTCAACTAAGTTGGAAAGAAAAAAGACATAATGTGATTTTCACTGTTGATACTTGCAAACGATTCATTAAAAAAGCATTAAAATTAAAGTAATGGAAAGCCATTTTCATGCAGCTTAGAAGGGTAAACGTCGGCCTTATTTAGCTTAGCCATTGTCAAACAAATGAATTTTCTACCTAAATTCTACCAAGTGACCATCAAAACTGAGTTCTTCAACATATACATTATGCACCTTTCGAAGATATCGTTATTCTTCTCATTATGCAAATTAGGCCATTCCGTTGGCTGTCACGCAAGTTTTCCCCCGATGGCAGAAAAGAGTAATTAGAAACGACCGCGTTGCCTATATTACCTTTATGATGGTGGTAATGCTTGTGTAACTTGTTCTTATGAAGGTGTAATGGACGCTTCGCATCTTCTTCATTTTGATTCCTGTGTTTGTTGTCAGCAAGCAAAACGGCTGAAAAAAAGACAAAGAAAATTACCTTATCATTTTCATGACACGAAAAAGTAAAAATTTGCTAAATTTTGATTCGAAAGATCAGTGTCCTGGTTTATAAATCATTTGGTTTTTTTGTTCTTTTTAACTATGAACAAGGACTGACCTTTAACTTCAAATAATGAAGCTCACCTTCTGTCGTTGGGCTCGCTTTTGTTGTCGTCATTTTTGTAGTTTCTGGTTTCTTTGTCGTCGGCTCGGTTGGTTGTGAGGAAACTGTGAAATATGCAATACATTAATTTGTTTTCTCATCAGACTAGTTACCAGCTATCTTTAAGTATCGGTTTTATCGATGTTTTAAAGACACGTAGCATGAAACTTGGTTGAAATTGACCTAAGTTTGAAATATTGGCAAGAAAAACCACCAAGTGCCAAAAAAGCACATAAACTTTCGCATACACATCTCAGATGTTTATAGGAGCCCAATCTATGAGCGTTGCAATGGGCCATTGCCCTCACTTTTAAAACGAGGCTAAGAAAAAACCCTATATATAAAATTTAGTTTCATTTGTATTATTTTGATATCAATGATTTCGCACTTGCCCTCGTTTTCAAAAAGAGGCTTGTGGAAGAAAAAAACTAAGGTAAATCCCTCACAGCATTTAAAAAGGGCTTGACTTTGTTAACCTACAGCAAGTAATAAAATCTTAATAAGTTTTTAACGGAAGCTTAAAGCCCAGTTTACCGGAACTACTTTTAATTCTCGTTGAGCATCGAATTGGCAGGTTCCACTAGACGTCAACGCGCTCAGGCAACAAAACATCAGAGCCTGCATACCTTGCATAACATCCTTGTTTCTCAGTCTAACAACGTACGCCATAGCAGTCCCCACTGAAAGGTGACTGGCCTCTATCAGCCGACACGTGTCTGGGTTGTAGCATTTTACTGTGTAGCACCGCTGTCCCTCAGTATAGGCCAAGTCACATGACTGATCCTCACAGCATAATCCAACGCACTGGCTGATATCTGGTACAAGTCCTCTTTCTGTGAACGCACCGGAGTTTTGGCCTCCCTTGAGCTGTACGTTGTAAAACGTCTTGTCTTTCTGACAGATTAAATTCGCACTTGCAGTCGGGGAAACTCGAGGCTTTTCCATCGGCTCGATAGTCGTGTTGCCAAGGTTTGCAACGCTGGCTTCCGCTGCACTGCTAAACATGGCGACCTCACCTCTCTTAATATACGAAATCGCTGAATTTATTGCCTTGTTTTCAATCGGGCGCGTTCGGCAAAGATCACGACTAAAACAGGTCACAGTATAACAGACATTTTGAATAACGTAAGCCACATGACATGTCGCGGACAAACAGCATTTCTCAATACATAGCTGTATGTCGCCTATTTGGGGGAACTGAGCAACCTCGCCTGCTCCCATACCGCCGTTCAGTATGACATTCGTGATGGTCAGTCCTTGAGAGCACTCTGTTGAAGGTCTCGGGGTGGTCACGTGACCGTTCTCCACGCGAGGGATTCCCAGCATGTTGTTTAGGGACGGTGGAGTTGTTGGAGACTGTGTGGGCTTAACCTCACCAAGAAGGTCCTGCAAGGATGGCTCTGTTGTTTTCGGGGTTTGCGTAGTCTTGACCCAAGCTGAAAAGAAGAAGAAAAAAATAAACCATCGGCATACTTTTGCCAAAGAGTTGGTAACTTATGGTTAACTTTTGACGAAGAAATAAACAAACAATCAAAAACAACAACAAACAAAAAGAACAAAAGGCTGCTGGAACTTAATTGCCAAGTAACCTAGCTTTACGTAAAGTCAGTCTACTTTTTTTGTATTAGCATCAACAAACAAAATTTCTCCAAGAACCACCTCTCACTGCGTAAGAAGTTTACTTTTTGGCGACGACAACGTCAACGTCAACAAAAAGGAAAAATAGCGTCTGTGAACATAACTACAAGATGAGGAAGTTCCAATCTTCTTTGAACTTGGGGGTGGTCACTTACAAGAGAAGCATATGGTATTCACTATTGCTTAAAATTTTAGGAGGGTTATAACAATAACGTTGATCTCTTCCCTGGTGGTGGTTACTTTTTCTTCCCATTGGCAAAAACTTTAGAAATATTGACAGTTTTAATAGATAAGCACCAACCTTTTCCATTCTTCTTGTACATGTATATCATTTTGAGAGAGAAGTTCCTCAGCCTAGAGGGTCTCGCGCTACAAAGTTCAGGGCTTGAGCATTGAAGCGCAAAGCACGTGTCTCTCAAAAGGATGGCAACATCACATGATCTCTCTGAACAACATCTTCGGACACATTCATTCATATTCGTAAATTCTGCCATCCGTGTGAAGTTACCCGCGCGAAGTCCGCCCACCAGAGTCACGTGACGATATAGTTTACTGTGGGAACAACTGGACATTGTGGGCTGGAACGTTGTGCTTGGAGTGGGTTTCGTTGTTACTAACAACTTCATCAAGTTCGATGCCGAGCCTTTGTCTTCGTCTGTATAAGAAGTCTTCAGATTAGAATCTGGCTCGGTGAGAAGATCGTTGACCGAGGGAGTATGCATTTCTGTTGCTTCCTCTGCTTCAACATGAGATGAGGTCGATTCTGAAGGTTAAAACAACGAGAATGATGATCAGAGCTCAACATTTGGTACACTTCTTTTTAACGACAAAATAAGACTATTCTGCCAGTCAAATGCTAAATGGGAACATTGTAATAAAGGATTGCGTTGGGAATTGCGGGCAAATACCACTGATGAGCTAAAGGTTAAAGTTGAAAGACTGTCAATTGTTTAGAGAAATGTAAATTCGTAAGACATCACCTCAAACAAACTATAGTGAAACCTCGATATAACGAACGTCTATATAACGAAGTCCTCGGTATAACTAATGATATTCTTCGCCCCAGTAATAGTAAAATATATGGAAGGGAACCACGATATGACGAAACCTCGTTATGAGGAACATATTAGGCCAGTTCTTTGGCCCCTTGTTTTATCGAGGTTTCTATGTACCTAACAGCAAGATAAAACTTACCCCCGGGTTTGTGTCGCTCAATGAATCCAATTACAGGGGTATTCTCCACAGGACTCTTTACAAAGGTCTTGCACTGTTTTTCTTCCTTGCAACTAATTGCAAAACAATTGTTCTCGACCATATAAGCGACAGAGCATTCTTCCAAACCACAACAGATATCCATGCACTCATCAATAGAACGAACTGGTCCTTTGTCCGTAAAATTCCCAGCGCCCAACCCACCCACAAGATCTCTGCCTCTGTACACGTTTCCTTTTTTACACAAGGGATGGACGCTTGAATTCGTTGATTTGGTAGGTTTAATTTTAGGTAACGTTGGTTTGTTCGTCGATGGTGTGGTCGTTGGAGGCACAGCAGTCGTTATCACCGTAGAGGATTGATTGTTGTTCTTCTCTGTGGCTTCCGTAGCCGTGGTTGTTTCAGGTTCTTTAGTTGTTGTCATAGGTGTAGTTTGGAATTCCTTGGAGGGGAGTGACGGTGGTCTTACAGCGCTAACAATAGCCGAACCTGTAGTTCTAGCGTTTGTAGGCCCTTCCATTTGATACTCGTAATCTAAGGCACTGTTAGGCTTTGCAAAAGCAGCATCGGTCAAATGACTGGAAGGCTGTGAAAACCAAACTGAGTTGGTATTCATATCAGAGAAACTGTTCGGGTAACTCTCACTGTTTATAAGATCAGAATTCGACTGTGGTTGTGAATAGCCTCTCGGGTTTTCCAAATATCGGTCTATCTCCTTTTCCTGGAGGGCTCGTCTAAAGATGTAAATCTCGTCCATATAACCAAGTAAAATCCTGCGACCAGAATGAGAACCAAAGCCTGCCTTAGCCTCCCAGTCTAGGGAAAGCAAGCCGCTGCCGTGGCCCTCCCCTACTAAATCACCGTTGACAAATACCCTGGCGAGATGAGTGCGAGAGTCGTACGTGGCAACGATGTGATACCACAGGTTGGGCTGCAGTATTGGGGGAGTTCTTATATGGAAGATCTCCTGAGCGTACTCGTTCCGATGGAACCATCTAACCTTTCCGTCGAACACTTCAAAGTGGTACTGTCCTTTGTTGTGGATTGAATGACCACCGATGGTGTCAAACATGGAATGTACTCCACCGGTCCTCCAGAGGTTTACCCATAATGCAATGGTGACCGCCTCCTGTGGCTTCTCGCGGAAGTGCTGACCATCGAGAAGAATATCGCCGCCATTCAGCTTAATACCAGCACCACGCCTCCCTGGTGTCGTTACCTCAGCACCTACAAAAAAACAACGAAAATAACCCTTACATGAGAAATCAGCGTTATGAGAAGGTGCTCAGCTCTTTGTGCTTTGTGCAAAGCTCAGTGCCTTCCATTCAACAAAAAATTCAGAGAAAACAGGTGAGTTCTTTCGTCAGTTTCTTCACAACCTAGGAACTTAGAGTATTATTTTTTTCGAAGAGATCGCCGATATAACTGAAGAAGATGACGGCGCCGTTCTAAAAAGCAAAAGAATTACGACCCGGTTTTTATCTATCTTTTCGAAAATTTAATTCAACTTATTGGCACAAGAAAGAAGGGAAACGTTTGACGTAATGATAGCTTGGCCTCTTATGAAAAGAACACAATGTTCTTGAAGTAATTACCTTGAGTCAACCTTGCATCGTTATTAAGGCCAGATCCATCGACCGCCACGGAGCCGATCACGTGATCAAATCCAAGGTACAGGGAAAGATAATGGGTGTGATCACCAGGCAGATCGTCCATATTTCCACCAAGAGGACTAAGCGGCAGAGGAGTAGGTGTTGGTGGGGATACATCTTCGTCTTCGACCATAGCTACAAAAATTCATTGCATGATTATAAGGCACTATACTAAGAGCAACTTACCATAAGGGAAGGCAAGACACTAGTCGGACAAGACAATGACATAATTGTTAGAAACCATTGAAGAGCAAACACCTAAATTTGGCAAGATCATATTCTGCTCTCTTACTTTATCAGAGCCCCACTCTAGGGAAAGGTTACCTCACGGATGCACTCATACAAACACAAACACAAACAAATCTAAAACAAACAGAAAAACTCAACCCTCCCACATTCAAAAAATTTTTTAACTAGCCGCCGGGATATGATTCTCAAATTTACAAAAAGAAAAAATTCTCGGAAAACTATTTTCAACTTATTTTCAACACAATGCTGAAGTTTTCTAAGCGTGTATCTACCCGACAAAACAGCGCGCAAAGCACTGTATTTTCTTACCTTGTCTGCTGACAAACGAGATCTGGTAATCCCCTCCTTCCTCGACCGTACAAGCATCACCAACTCTGCATCGCACCGTATGACATTTCCTCTTCTTTAACATGACAAAATCGCAGGCGGGCTCATCACAACACAGTTCGACGCATTCTGCCATGCTTCTCACAGGAACTACCTGAAGTCGCATACCTGCATTCCAGCCATCACGAAGCTTTACATTGTAGAAAAACATCCCCTGGGCGCAGAATTGCCTTGTGGCCGACGAGCTGTGAGTGGGTCGAGGGGAAATTGGCTGATATGGAAAGAACATGTCACTCGCTGTTGTTCGTCTTGTCGGAGGTGGTGCGGTGGGTTTTGGGGTGGTCGGATTCTCCAATTTTCGCATTTCTGTGAGGAACACAAGGCAGATAATAATTGTGTCGGACACAACTTGATTCAAAACGTATTAAAACTGGATACCATATGCGAACTCAATGCTTCTTGGGATCGTTTTTACCAGTTTCCCGCTCGTGTTGAACTCATTTTTTAAGTAACGTAATAAATTATAACTAGCGAGATATCGTCAGTTTTGTTTGATACATTAAAAAGAGCTCCTTTGTCATTGGAAACTGCCGTTTGCAGATTTCTCTTTGTACATAGAAAGAAGGTCCTTGCAGGAAAGTACACAAAACTTCTTTTACTTTAATGTCCCATCCCGCTTGTACCTTTTGATGGGTCCTAGGGGACCCTGGATTGGTAACAGCTTGCGCTTCCTTTACAGGAAAAGCCCTTGGGTTTACATATGAGAAAATAAGTAAAACAGCTACTTCTATAGTTGTCACTACTATTGTTCACTCCTTAGATCTGCCACATGTGAGCAATCTAACGAAGTACTTACCTTGGTCTAAGATAGAAATGCCACTCCTTGTGACGTAATAAACGCTGGGCATGTCATCTCTGTAGGGCACCGCTGGTACAGGCTCACACTGCTCATTGTTGAAACAGTCTACGGCATAGCACCTATCACGTGTCATGAAAACAAGGTTACATGAAGCAATCTCGCAGCAGAGCTTCAGACAGCTAGCAGAGCCTCTTACTTTGCCCAAATCTATGAATAGCCCCGCGTTCATTCTACCCCTTAACTCGCTGTTAAAGTAAACCATCCCCTGTTGACAGTTTGGTTCTTCATGTAAGGTAATCGTGGGTGAAACACTGTTTATCCCAGGCTTCTTATCAGTGAGTGTTGTAGATGGTACATTTAACGTAGGTTTCCGTGATGTAGTAGACAATAGAGTCGTTCTTGCCGTTGGAGTTACATTGGTTGACTTAGAAGTTGTTGTCGCTGTTGTGGTAGATGGTGGGGTCGTTGGGGTATTTTGCCTTGTGGAGCTTGTCAGTGGTCTCGCCGTGGTAGGAGTTTCTGCAAGAGTAGTGGAAGTAGGCTTCTTTTGCTTCGTGGACATTGTAACGTTAGGATGAAGGAACGACATCGCATCTTGAATCATCTTTTCCGGAATGAGGCCATCATAACTTCCTTCTTGTACGGGAATGGCTCCACCTTTAAACAGATCGATCTTTTTGTAAGTTCGACTTCAAAGGTTACAAAACTTTGAGTGCGTTCCTTAGGATGATCATAGGATCGGGATTTATGATCCGAGATCCCTCGGATCTTGGCGTGTCAGAGGAAGCGCTTAATTTCACCGGGACACGGATTCATCGGTATTTTTGTCCCTCCAGTCTATGTTCCGATTTACGATCTTGGATCATGAATGCTTATCCGGATCATATCAAAGGAACGCATCTTAAGAGTTGCTGCTTAATGTCTATTGCCAAAAAAGCTCTCGAGTTATTAAGCTATTTGACAGATGCTCTAATCTCTCTATGAGTATTCGATTCTCACAATCGGATCACCTAAGCGTACTAAAGAGCGAGATCTGAGTACGAGATGACGCTAAGGCATGTTAGGACAATGGCTTGTAACATCTTTACAGGCAATAACGTGTAACTGATTTTCCTATTTTGACTCAGTATCTGAATTACCAATGGCTGCTGTCTTTTGTATGCTTTTTTTTGTTATTATAGATCGTAATCTTTACAAAAGAATGCAGGGCCAAAAAAAAAATTGACTAACGTGAGACGCATGCATAATAAACACCATGATTGCTTTCTCCTTAAGTTTCTCGCTTATGCTGATCCATTTAACTCCCAAGAGTTATATAAATATTAACTTAGCTCATATGGTGAGTTTGAGAATTTATACGGACGGCTGCAAATAATTAAAATGATCCCCCTTGTGCGCTTATAGATTGGAGGATAATGGCTTCATTTAATCTTCTTAAAGGATTGCCTAATCTTGTCAAAGATGAACTTACGGTGAGTCATGATACAACAGAATGGTCAAGAGTTGCTTAAAACATATGTTACCTGCTCCAGGGTTACATTCTTCTGACAAATCTCCCAGATCTGACGCTGCAAGGGCGTGGTTATACATGTAGAACTCATCCATAAGCCCCTGGATACCCTCGGGAATTCCGATTCCTACTTCGCCATCCCAGTTCTGTGACAGTAATCCGTGCCCCTCTCTTTCATCGAAGACCTCTCCATTCAGGATGATCTTGCTTTTATTGATATGGGCATCATACGTCGCAGCTACGTGTAACCAGTCAAGGGGGTCTACCATCCGCCTCGTTTCCATGCTAAAAGTGACGTGGCCCAAGTCATCAACGTGAGACCAACGAACGATCCCATCGGCTACGTGTAAATTATACTTCGCTCCAGATCCCGTCGTTTTAAACAAAGTGGCAGTTCCGGATACTGAGTCGAGCTTTAACCATAACGCAATCGTGATGGCCTCACGCGGTCGGCTGTTGAAACGCGGGAAAAGGAGGCGTCCACCCCGCAAGGTCACGGCAGAACCACATTTCGATTCAGTAGCAGATAGCCCTACTTCCGGGCTAAGGATGGCGTTGTTGTTATTGCCGGAGTTGTCAAGGGCTGTACGATTTTTAACACTTTCAAATCCAATGTGAAGCACCAGATACGCAACGTTCCCTTTGGGATGGAAAACAATCAAAAATGCCTTGTAAACAAATGCTGTTTGAACGCTGTTTGGGGGTGGTCATTGAAAACAAAGAAACTCAACAATGTAAAATCACGTAAGGCGATCATTTGATGCCTTACACGGCTTTTCCTCAGGCAGGAATCAAAGTAAATTTTCATTACCTTTCCGATGTCGCCAAACTTCATTCAAAACTAATTTTATCCCTTTACACGGGCACATTTGTTACCTTTGGTTTTGAACAATACAAACTGTTTCTATTAAGTCATTTTTGGTTTATTTTGTCACTTGAAGATTGTGTCATGGCGACATCGAAGGGTTGTGCAAAACGTTTCTCGCTATGAATCTAAGTACAATACAAAACGACAAAAATAAAGTGAGATCTGTTAAATCGTTAGATAGAAACACTTTAGTTGTATTTAGTGGTATCCAGAAATCATAGTGGCGTCAGTAGATACGCCCAGAGAAAGGTGTACTCGCAATACTATAAATGCGCTAGGAATTTCATGATGTCTTACTGCAGGTATGGAGGGCAAAAACAATTTATTGATAGTAAGAAACCATACAGTTAATTTTAGCACATAAGTTACTTTTTAGAATTTTGCGTTTCCATACACATTGGTAGGGAACATGTAAAAAAAGGAGTGGTTAACTTACAATGTTAAGTCAAGCGATTCTCCAACGTACATGAAGCTTTCCCAGGCAGCATAACAATGCAAGAGGTCTTAAAGATCTCTTACAATGTTATGCTAACCGGTCAAGCTCTTTAGTCGAATGTCATCAGGAGATTCTAGGGAGATGTTCTATTGAAAAGTTCTAGAACTGAATTTAAAATCGTTTTATGTTCCGGGCTATATAAATAACTTCTCGCCACCAATTCATTCTGCCATTGTCGTGTATAAAAACATCATCGCAATGAAAGACGGCGTGCAAAGAGAACAGGAAAAAAGTCAAGGCCTTAAAACAAGTTTTTTCAGGCCAACTTTAATGTAAATGTTTTTGAACGGCAAGAGGTTATATAGCACACACTCTAAAACTTATCTGCTTAAAATTCCTTACTTGTGACTTAATAAATTAATTGATCTTCTTGTGTGTTAGACACGTTGTAAATTACACTGTCTTCGATGGTAAAGCTGCCATAACGTTTAAATTAACTTCATCATGTAACCTAGTCTGGAACTGCTTATTTTTATATTTCACAAAGTAAACTGAATATAGCTTACAATGAAAATGTACGTAACTATGTACGGTAAGGGACGAGGGAAGGTGTTCTCGTGTAATGTCACGTTATTAAAGGCACGCGGTATTTTTAAGAGATAAAATGTTCAAAAGTGTCTGCGCGCTTTACTGTTGACTTCCACCATGAGCATTATAACTCAATAAAGTAAGGACGTAACGTAGGGTGCAAACTTTAAGGAGATTTAGATTAGTCGCTCTGGCCGATCATAGCAACACATTTCTTTGGGAATCTAACAATACACTCTACATATTCGTACCTTCACTAGACGCCGGAATGGTAAGCTTTTTCTTCCCTCTTTGTGTCATTGGCTTCTTTTTTCTTAAACGGAGTTTAGACTTCAAATGGCTTTTGGAGTTAAAAAGCTGCTGTATATCATCTCGACCCGGCTGCTCGGCATCTGGCCTGCGGGATTTGTATCTTACAAAGGAAGATTTTGGTGGATGTGCAATGGATTGTTGTGTAGGGACTGTGAATGATGGGGGACTCTCAGTAGCAGAACCAATCGACGCGTGGTCAATTATTTCGTCGCTGCGGTCCATCTCCGGAGAGAGTTCACGTTCGCCACTGGAGATAAATGTCTTGGCGATGTCTTTCCAGACCTGCGGCGCCTTTTTGTGGTCCTTTTTACTCCGGCGATCGTTGAGAAGAGGCATACGTGTTTCAAGTTTTTTCTTGCGACGTGGGGGTTTAGGAACCGTGACACGTCTACTTGGCTTGTTACTTTCACTTGTAAACTCCTTTGTAACTTCTTTGACCACGCTGTCCGCCACATTATCAATGAGCTGTTCTAAAGCATCAGACTTCTGAGTATTAACCTTTGCAGAATTGGCAGAGCTCGTTGTTGTCTTCTTATTGTCCCTGATTGAGCCAATAACTGGTTGTTTAGCTTCGATCTCTGCGACAATTCTATTAATGAACGACTGGTTGACGGTGGGATGAAAAGAAGCATGGTTACTGGAAGAAATGGCGCCTTCTTTGATCACGCTGGTAAACACTCTATGAGATCCTGTGTCCTTGCGTTCTGTACCTCTTTCAGTAACGGTATCGTAGAGTTTGAAATCTCCATTATCTAAACAAAAACAGAATCAACAAAAGTTTAACTTAAACGAAAAACAAAGGAAAATCTGTCTTAAGATCTGTCATAATACTGCTATATAATCAAATCACAATGTCAACGACATAGTGAAGGAATTTGAGACAACATTACTGGGTTACAATAATTTCGAGACAGAAGGGCAATATTGAAAAAACGAAAACGCCGGAAAAATGTAAGGACCACCGCTTCATTCACTAGCTCAAAAATTAAACAGGTTAAGATAAAAGCTAACTTATTTGTCCCGACAAATGCTTCTTTAGTCAAAATATTGGATCAAAAGCTCTGTCTAATTACCCCAAAATATCCTTGGTTCTTCCGTTTTAACGCATTCAAGTTCCAGTTCAACTTATCTCTTTTTAGCCAGCAAGCAATTAAACTTTTAGATCTGTAAGCCACACTTGCAGATTTATGACTACGTTCACCTGTTTTCAGTACTTTCTCATTTCTTTTGCTCTTATGGTTATCTATAAAATCAGACAATGCATGGCGGGTACATACCAGTCGTTTGAGCATGTGGTTTTTCTGACGCTTCCGCGATGCTTTTGTTCAGCGGGCGAGCCTGCTTATTATTAGGATCCAGAGTACTCAGTGGCCTGCTTGTCTTAGTCGCAGGTTTCTGAAGTCTTAAACTTCTTGGGATAAATGATCTCTGACTCTGTTTTTTGCTTTCTCTAGCAAGCGCTTCAGAATTCTTCTGAACTTTCCTTTGCTGATGGTATATTTTCTTCATGTTGTTATATATTGTCTTCATCTCTTTAAATATCATTGCCTCTTCAACAGGTATTCGCAGGTGCTTTCTCGCTATCCTAGAGCGATTTCTCTTTTTACCAGATTTTCTTTCTTTCCTTCCTTTCTCCGAAGAAACAGAGAGGCGATCTTTCTTTCGCCAGCGAGCATTCTTCTTTTTTCTGTTGTATAATTCCTGCACTCGACTGTAAATGGTTTTAATATAATTCATGAGTGTTTCTTTATGGTGATTCGAGGACATCCCAGAGCCTTTGTCGCTGTCTGTCGTATAGTCTTTGACAAATCCTGTTTTCTTGGTGGGAAACGGAGTTGCTTCTTTCTCGTAAGACAAAGCAGTCTTCCGAGTAGGTCTTGGAGGCGTTGGTATAAGTTCTTCTCTCCTTCTGGAGTTAACATTGACTGCTTTCCCTCCCTTACTTCTACTTTTTAGGCTTTGGGTAGTAGGCTTACTAGAAAATACCGAGGGTACCGTGGGTATAAGTTCTTCACGTCTCCTGGAGTTCACCACTACTACCTTCTTCCTATTGGCTGCATTTTTTGTCCTTTGAGAACTCCCTTCAATAAGATCTTGTAAGCGACTGTAGATATCATTTATTTTGTCGAAAATTGCGTTTAACTCGGGCTTTCTTTGTCGTGACCTTTCTGGCTCTCCTTGTCTGACATACTGAGGGAAAGATGAATTCGCGTTGACGTTTATTACTTTGTTAATGCTGTGCCCAAAGTCGTTCTTCAAAGAAACTGTTTTTTTGATGTTATGCTCACTCGATGATACGTCTTGCTGAGAAAAATTGGATAACACCGGTTCGGAGTCAAACGTGGTAAATTGAGGCTCAGAGGCATTTTTTGCCTTACTTTGCAGGGATATTTTCTCGACATTTTTGCTATTTGTTTCTTCAGATTCACTACCTGCTACTTCGTGTTGCTTTTCAAGTCGAAATTCATTTTTACTCGTCCCCTCTCCGTGTTTATCAAATAGGAAATGAACCCTGCTTGCAGGAGTTTTCTGCTCCGCGGGGAAACTCACCAGACGATCTTTATTATTATTCCTGGTAGTGTCCCAAACTTTGCCTTCTTGTTTGTTATCCATATCTTGGATTTTAAAATGGACTTCATTTTGACTGGTATCCTCGTTATCTTTTGGCTTGCTAAATTCAAAATACAACTTATCCGTAGGAGCTATTTGCTCGTGAAAACTTGTCAGGTGATCTTTATTTGTGTGTCTTGAAGTCATCCCAAAGTTCCCTTCTTGTTTGCTAACGTAATCATTGCTTTTCATTCTTTCAGCATCGAATTTGAAATCCGGCCCATGTTTTGGAACTACCTGTTCATGAAAACTTTTCAAACCATCTTCGGTTTCATTACTTGAGTTAATCCAAACTTTATCTTCTGGTCTCATCCGTTCACGTGATACATTCTGAAGGTTGAATTCTTCTTCATTTTTGTTTTCATCCGGTTGATCTACGTCGAAATTTGTTAGATGATTTGATACGACTTGTTGGTTAAAGTTGTTAACTTTTTCTTTACTTTTTGGCTTCGAGCCAGTCCAAGAAGGTCTCTCGGGTTTCTTAGGCCTGTTTTCATTTTTAACGCTGAAGCCATCATCTTTTTCTTTCTCCTTTGGTCTGTTTTCATCAAGATGCAAGTCGGATTGGTTTGAATGTTGACGACGTGATAACCCTTCAATGTTGAATTCTTGTTCTTGTTCATTTCTGTTATTTCCCGGTTGATCAACTTGAAAATTTGATCGATGCTTTGATACTGTTTGTTGGTTCAAATCGCCATTTTTTTCCTTACTTTTTTGCTTCGAAACCATCCAAGCAAGTCCCTCTGGTTTCTTTAGCTGTGTTTCATTTTCAACGACAAAGCCATTATCGTTTTCTTTCTCCTTTTTATTATTTTGTTGTAGATTAAAGTTGGACGACTGTTCTGATTGTTCAGGTAATGGACTTTGAATTTTGAATTCTTGTGCTTGCTCAGCTTTGTTATCTTTCGGTTGATTAACTTGGAAATTTGACCGATGCTTTGATACTGTTCGCTGGTTAAAGTCGTCAATTTTTTCTTTACTTTTTTGCTTCGAGCCAATCCAAGAAGGTCTCTCTGGTTTATTTAGCTGTTCCTGACTCTCATTGCGGAAGCCATCATCTTTTTCCTTCTCCCTTTTGCTGTTTTCATCTAGATGAAAGTCTGATTGTTTTGACTGATCTACTTCCTGCTTGAAGCTTTCTGTGCGATTTTCGAGTCTATTTGGCGAATTGATTTTTAATTGCTCACTGGATTTCATGGGTTCCTTTTCTACTTCAATTGTGATTTCTTCTGGCCCATTAGTTTCTTTTTCGTTGCTTTGGTCGTTCAAGTCCCCCATGCTTTCTCTATCCTTATTCCGCGACTTAACTAATACTTTTTCCTCATGCTTCAATGAGTCCGTCTGTTTTTCAATCTCAAAGGTATCATCGCCCTTGCTTTTCATGTCACCCCTAGCTTTGCTTCCGAAGCTATCCAATGTAAGTTCTTCCCTAGCTTTGCTTCCGAAGCTATCCAATGCAAGTTCTTCCTCCGGCTTTGCTTGGATGTCTGTATTCAAGTCTGTCGTGTCGTCTAACTCATCTTCATCTTTGTCTGGGCCAGGCTGCCCATACTTGCTTTCCAATCCTTCTTCAACTCCAACATCCGGGTGCTTTCTCGTTGTGTTCAGACCTAAGGCTGTTCTATTTGCATTATAAATAACTCGTTCCTCGATAAAATGTTCATTGGTAGAATTGAGCTGTTTCGAATTGTTCTTAGGAAAGCCGTGTTGCTTCTTGATTCCTCTTTCTGCTGATAGCGTATTCAAATGGTGCATTTTTGAATTTACTTTTCCATGGAGTGTTTGAATTTTGTGTTCTTCGATATTGTGTTCATCTGTGGGAGGATATACAAGTGGTCTGTCTGTATCCACAAGAACAACTCTCTTTGTGGCGTTGGAGGTAATCTCGGACCAGCTATCATTATGATGTGATTCATTCTTCCTTTTCTTTGTGTTTGGAATGATGTTTTTTGGCTTTTTCTTCGCCAAAGAGGGCGAGGAGTTTCCTTTTATACTCTCACTAACTGACGATCCCAAAGATGGAACCGTCTTTTTCTGTTCCGTCCTGCTCTGATTTCCCAGAAGAATGCGAATTTCTCTTTCAAGGTGTTTATTCTCCTCTCTGACATCGGCTATTTTCTTTATCATCATATCCATCCTTTTTTCTGCTTTGCTTTCATCAGTATTTTCAGTCCCGCTGACCTCAAGACTCTCTTTTCGATACTTGGTTTTATTGTGCAGGCTAATTTTATCAGATGAATGATCACTAGCGTTGTGACTTGTAACATGAATAACTCCGTTTCCAGTTGATTTTATTACGTTGCGAGTTGTGATTTTATCGTCGGGATCAATCACGAATTCTTCGTCGATTGTTTGAATCGTTTTGTTATTCAGGCTAAAATCTTTCTTGTATGAGTTCCGATTTTTCTTGCTGGATGGAACCTCCTTGTAATGAACCAAATTCACGGGTTGTTTTTCTTTATCATTAATACCAGAAATAGTGGAGTTAAAAATAGATGGTTTTATGGTCGTTCTAGAGTTATTCGTCTGGAAATAAACGATCTTGGGCTTAAAATGCGACGGTCGTGCTGGCACAATTCCGCATGCATAACCACTTGTGCACGAAACTGTGAAACAGTTATCAAGAAACATAAAAATCAAGTCACAATGGCTCTGTTTACAACAAAACTCCACGCACTGGCTTGTACGGTTGACTTTTCCAAGCGAGGTGAAATTCCCAGCGTTGTAGCCCATTCTAAGGGTTACATCGTCAAAGACTTCAGAATGTTTGCAGGTTTTCTTTTTGTTACCATCAGGTTTTAACTTGGGTTCGGTGTTATTTTCAATCGCCTGGAACACATCATTTATAGCAGGTACAGTTGTTGCAGGTTTACGTGTAGGTTTGAAATGACGGCGATAAACATGAGTAACTGTTGGATTGAAATTTGGCAACAAAGATGGCGTTGATGAACAGAGAAACTCGTCAAAGCAGGTCACCAGGAAACATCGACTGAAAGCATAAAACGCCACGTCGCAGCTGCTGGCGTTACAGCACAACTCAGTGCATGCTGATGACTCCTTCACTATACCCGCGTCTAAGAACTTTCCCGCATGTAGACCACCCCTAAGAGTAACATTTTGCTCAGTTGAGGACGCAGTGCAGCCTAACGAGGAATGCAGCCTTGCAATAAAGTGCAATGAACTATTATATCCCACACCCGTAGCTCTTAGCGTCGTTGAAAATTGCTTAACAGTTGGGCGAGGTTCACTCATAGCGGTCATCGTACCGGTGATTTTTGACGCTAACGTGACTGGCCGTTTTGCTGATAGTGTCGGTGGAGGGGAAGTAGGTTTAACAGTTGGAGCTGGTTTGTTGTTTTTCATCGTTGCCAACACATGGTCCTTCCCACCACGTGAAATACGAGATATGATCGGGTTGAAATTCGTCGCCAAAGCTGGTGTACTTTCGCACAGGCGAGTGTTTGAACTTGAACACGTGACCAAGAAACAGTGTTTTAATACCATAAAGGCTAAATCACATATGGCGCTTTTGCAGCAGTGACGGGCGCATGTTTTTATATCATTCACTTTTCCAACCTCATGAAACAAGCCTGAAGAGAGACCTCCCCGCAGGGTCTTGTTATACTCCACTTTAAAAGCTGTGCAACCAAACTGTTGAAGATTAGACGTCGGTATAGGTAGCGAAGGAACTGTGGATTTTGTGGTCAGATATTCGTGTTTATGATGGAACATTCTTTTCTGTTTCTTTGATTTTAGTTTCTGCTTGACAATCTGTCCGGAAGCAGCTGTAGTTGGTTTGTAAATGTTATCGGGCAATTTACTGCCATTGCTTTTAGTTTTAACACGACTCGTAGGACTTGACTTTTTAGCCTTTCCCTCCTCTTGCAAAAGATCTTTAACTTGAGATGCAGAACTCCTTTCACTGTCGGTAATTTTGTCCGACTTTTGTGAGGTTACATTTTTCTCTTTCACAGGAAAAGTAGGTTTTATTCGCTGATTCATCGAGCTCATTGCGAAAGTTTCTGTATTATTAAATGAAAAGTCTGATATCATACGATTACTCTTTTTGCTCTTGCGTTTCATGAGCCGGAAAAGCTGCTCCAAGTCCTTGTTCGACAATTTCTCATTCTTTTTCTTTTCCAGCTTATTTTTGAAGCGTTGAACTCTGGTGACTTTAGAAGGCCCATTTTCTTGCTTGGAATTCTGACGATTTTTTCTGGGACTTTTTGCTTTCGATTCGTTTAACCGTGGTGCTACCGTCACGTGCTCCACTTTGCGGTGTGTTGCTAAGTTACCAAACATTTCTTCAAGTTTGTTTGTTTTAACTTTGCGCTTTTTGCCTTTACGGTGGTGCGTCACCCGCGTGGTTTCCTTTTTACCTGATACTCTCCTGGTTTTTAAGCTATGTTTACTCTCGTGACTAAGGGATTTAACTGGCACGGGGAGGGTCGAAGACGGTGTAATACGATCACTTGAAGTGCCGGTGCGAGGGCGCCTCACTGTCTGTTGCTCATCCATGAATGACATCAGCTGGGAAACATTGGTTCGTTGCACGTGTGCAACTCGTGGGTTAAACAGGCTGTGTCTGGCAGGAACAGTCTCACATCCTTTTTTGGTGTAGCACGTGACGACGTAGCACCGCTGCTTGAGCATGAAAGACACATCGCAGTTGACGGAGTTGCAGCACTTGTGTAAACACTCATCCATGTCCTCAACCCTCCCCTGGTCTCGGAAATAGCCCGATCGGATACCGTTGCGTAGCGTAACATTGTAAGAGATCGGGCTATTGAGACACGAGGAGGGATGAGTGAAAGAGAGTAGTGAAGAGTTCTTTGAAGTCTTTGCTAGCCCAGGTATTTGCCCCGAATTTACTCCCTCCTCTTTCATTGATTTAAATGGCTCGTGATGACTTGGAGTAGTTGTGCCAATACCGATTGCTGGTAAAGACAACAAGCTTACTTTAGAAGTTGATGTTATATATTTCGATGAAAGGCTCGGTGTAATTTGTTGTTGGTTGTGCGACACCGACGAGTCCATTGTTGGTTTAACATTGTGTTTTCGGCTAATAGTAATGTTTTTACCAGTAGAAAGTGTGCTGGACGCTTTCTTTTCTAAATAAATCGTACTTCGTATTGCGACATTGTCACCTGCAGTTGACGGTGAAGGACGCAACAAAAGCTCAAGTTGCTCTGAATTTAATCCACTCGATGAAATAAAATTTGTCAGAATCTCGCTTTTTCCTCCCATAGCTGGGAGAGCAGCGTCAAGTAGAGATAAGGATTTTGTCGAGTGATGAGTCGACAAACGCGTAGAAAAACGAATCTTTTCAACATAGACTATTCTTGATTTGTATTTGCCCGTTTTTGCAGGTACACTGTCACAGAGGTATTTGTTGTGACATGTGACAGTGAAACAGTTTTCCAATAACATCAAGGCCAGGTCGCAGTGATCATTTCTACAGCAAAAGTCCACACACTGTTCCACATTCTCGACCTTCCCGTTGTCCTTAAAGCGTCCCGCGTTTAACCCCCCACGAAGTGTTACATTGTGTTTCAGTTCTCTGTTCCAGCAACTATGACGCGATTCTACTTTAGGTGTATACGACTTGGAAAATAGCAACTGCGTCGGTGAAGGATAAATCTCTGAAGACTGCCGGAGAGATTTTGCAGATGAAGTCATTATAGACTGAGATATACTGTAAGTAAGTTGGTGCATTTTCAAAGGCAACCTTGACTCTGTGAATAAAGCACTCGAGCGTTCCATAGTGCTGCTAAGCAGAGCTGGCGAAGGTGTCGCGATGTTTTTCAGAATATTGGTGAAGTCACCTTGATCCCGTCTGACTCGAGAAATGAAAGCAATCCTAGGTGTGAAAGTCACATTTCTTGCTGGAACAGGATCGCACAAATGATCATTGTAGCATGCAATGGTATAACATCGAGTCAAGAGCATAAACGCTACACTACAAAACTGCCAACGACAACACTGTTCAATGCATTTCCGCATATTTTGAACGGGTCCCTGGTCCTTGAAAATCCCAGCATTAATTCCTCCACGCATGGTTGCATTGTAATAAACAACTGCACTTTGACATATTTCATCTTCCGTTAATGCTCCCGCAGGTACCAATTTCTGTCCTTTTAGACTCACATTTCCTCCGTTTTCAAGCCATCTAGAGCTCGATAACGTTGGATTTTCTTTCAGTGCCGATGGCGTAATTGTTTTATGAAGTGTATGACGAGTGTTGTTTCGCCTTGTTGACATACCTTTCGTTTGAATCAATTCAGCAATGTCAAGTTTGTTTCCATTGACTGGCTCAATGGCTGATTCGATTAACGCCCCTTCAACAGGTACAGCGGGTGGCATAGTTGGAGACACAGATCCCATATGGAGGCCAGAGACGATACCGCTGGGCCTTGAACGTTCGTGACTTGTCTCACTTCCTGGGATGCCAGCCGATTGGGCAATTACCTTTGAAGAGGCACCATTTTCATAGGCTTTCCCTGAGGATGTCGACGAACTTTTAAGGTCGTTTCTGGTGTTAAAGCTTGGCGAAGATGGTTTTACCAACCTCGCGAGAAGATCTCGTACCACTGCGGTTTCATCTCTTGACATGTGCACTATTTGAGTCAGGTAGCCAACGTTTCGCACAGGAATGCTTTCACAAAGGCGGGAGCTATAGCACTTGACTAGAAAGCATCTCGTCATGATCATAAAGGCCACGTCACATGTAGTTGCGTGACAGCAGTGATTGACGCATTGCTCGATATTAGCAACAACGCCAGTTTCCAAGAATGAACCTGCGTTCAATCCTCCACGCAAAGTCATCTGTTTTTCTGCGTTTCTATATCGACAGTTTTCTTGGGAATGAACCACTCTGCTTGTGTTTTCTTTTCTTCTGAGTTCACTCGTAGAAAATAATGTACTGCTACTAACCTGTAATTTCGAGATCTTCTTTAATTGAAGAGAAGGCAAAACCTCCGAATGTGAATCTCTTCTAATAAAGGCCAACTGAGGCTGAAAAACTAAACTACGTGCAGGAATGCTTGTGCACAGAGTATTATTGTAACACGACACGGAGAAACAGCGGTTTAACAGCATAAACGCGACGCTGCAATTGCCTCTGCTGCAGCAGAGTTCAATACATCTTTGCATATTTTCAACAGTTCCTTGATCTGTAAATTGTCCACTCTTAATTCCACCACGAAGAGTTACATTTTTCTCAATGATTGAAGTCTCGCAAAAGCGCACTTGCTTTCCATCCGTAAGAACAGAAATTGATGTACTCGAACCTGCTTTTGCTGAGATGCTAGCTGAGATGCCGTAGGTGGATATCTTAGATCGATGACTGGTTAGCGTTATTTTGTTTTGAAAGTCATAGTCAGATGATTCGAATGATGTCTGACCACTGCTTTCTTTGGGAAGCATTTCTTTCTTCTGTACGTAAATTAGTCTAGGTGAGAACTTAAGAGTCTTAGCAGGGACGCTCTCGCAAAGAGTTTTGTTCTTACAACTGATCAGAAAACAGCGATTTAAAAGCAAAAATGCCACATCGCAAGTTTTTGAAAAGCAACATTGGCTAATGCATTCAGTGTCGCTATTCACTTTTCCTATTTCTCTCATCAGGCCGGCGTGTATGCCCCCTCTCAATGTTGAGTTTCGATTCACTTTCGAACGCTTACATAAAGTTGCTTTGTGTATTCCAGTTATATTCAAAGCCACATCACCCAACGGTTGCATTGCTATTGAAATGTCCAGATCCTTTGATGCTTTTTGTTTCAGGGAGGTTGGAGACATGCTTCTCAATTGAGCCGTGGACACTTGCGTATTAGCGGATTGCTTGAATATTGCACCCGAAACGATTGTCTTCAGAGGAGCGGTGCTTAAGTCGAAACGCTGTTTAGTACTAGAATCTAACCCTGAGAAAACAGGTGATGCTGCAAGCTTCATAGACGTGTAACTTGTGTGAAGTCCATTTACGTCAGTGCTATTCGACATGATATTATTATGGTGTTTGGTTCCCTTTTTGGTGAGAATGTCTTTGATGCTTTTAAGTAATTGTGCAAAATACCCAAACATTCCAGCTTTGTCTCCGTCACTAGTTTCTTCAGCTGAATGCAGTTTTTTATTCTTGAGGCGAGGCATTGCTTTTACTACTTGACTTGTCTCCTTGGAACTTTCCAAACGTTCCTCTTTCGCAAAGTGTGGTCCAGGTCGTTTTTGTGATATCAGAGGTGCAGGAGTGCTTGTAGGAAAAGACGTCGACATCTTGCTGGGTATAAGTATTGACGTCTGGGCCATGAAAGACGAAATCGGTCTCCTGACCTTCACGGATTCAGAATGTGATGGAAGTAAGGGATGTCTAGTATTTTCCCAACTTGAAGAAGTTCGAACATGATGGGTAAAAAATGTCTTTGACGGCGTGGCTTTGTCACCGTCTTCAGCAATAGACAAACCCTTGGACCTACTATGGATTGTTTTTAATGCAGCCGTGACATAGTTTTCTTTTTGGTCATTTGTGTACCCACTCCTTGTGTTCACTAGCATCGCCAAGGATGTTACGGACGTAAAACTCCCAATATAGTCTGCTTTATCCAATTTTGCAATCGGTCTTCTCCCACTTGTTGATACTTTTGTTACCACAGAGGTAGTTGAAGTGAGAGGCAACCGAGGAGGCATGGTAACGGAAGGTTCTCGAGGTGATTTGGCTCGAAGAAAACTAATTTGTTCAAGTAACGCTCCTGATATTAGTGTGGAGTCTGAAATAAAGCCGCTGGACGAATGCTGGTGTATCGGAGGTAAAGGATGCAGCACTTTTATTTGTTCCAATAAACCACCCGCAAGATGTGGTATTTCGACGCGCTTCTTGGCTATAGCAGATGATGACTGATTCGTTCCTTTTTCATAATTCCCCATACGGTAGCCAACGTCTCCAATAGTAATTCTTGATGATGAATGGTTTGAGGAAGGAATATTAAGATGTAAAGAAGCCTCCAATAAATGGCTACCGACTTTGCTCGGTGTTGCCTTTGAACCATCAATGGAGAAATTAAGTCGTTCATAAAAGGCGGTGCTGGACACGGGCAAACTTCGGACACGTATACTTGCACTAGGGGACAATGACAAGGCAAATGAAGATCTCTCTGACCCGGAAGAAAGATACTCATTGGTTTCAGGTGCTGATAGACGATTCGATCCAGACGGCTGGGACAAAGTTGCTCCAGCTTTAAACAATTGCTGTACCGAAAAAGCCTCTGAAGACAGCTGGGTGATAAGTACGTTTTTATTAACTAAGGAAGACTTCGTCTGTACTAAAGAAGTAGCTTGTGATCTGGTCCTTGTATTTTGTATAGATGTCCTGCTACTGATCTCGCTAACTGTAGGAGTCTTGATCGTATTCAACACGGTTTTGAAGCGTTTCGACGATACAAACTGGTCATTGACACTGTCTGTGCTCGTTTGCAAAATAAAAGCTTTTGTGGCTACAACAGGCAGTGTATTTTCACCACTGAAAAGAGGTGTTTCGAAAAAAATAAAAGATGGATAAACGGTACTGGTTACCACTAAATAACTAGATGACGCTAAAATCGGAGCAGCTCTTCTTGTCTGGGACGTAGAGGGTAGACTAGAGCTTGAAATCACGCCACCCTTGCTCACTGTATGACGCGCCCTAAATGTCTGTACCCCGAAGGCGTTACTTGTCAAACGTTGTAGCTTCATCCGCGTATTTTCATGAATAGACATCAAGGTGTGTATGATCTTCTTAGATGACAAGGATGAAGAAGGTGAGGACAAAATGTCTAGAAGTCTATTTGTTCGCGGGGAAGTATGGCTATTAAACGAAACGCTGTGACTACTGTTGACTTTCATTGTGGAGGCTAGCGGTTTCATTGGTACGTCGGTTGTCCCGATTGACTTTTTACTACTTTCAGTTTCTTTATCGCTGCTCAATTCAACTACCTTTCTTGTCTTTGTATCTTTATAGTATGGTGAAGAAGATTGAGTAGTGAAAGTAGCGTTTAATCCAGCGATCTCCTCCCTTTTATACTCGTTAAAACTACCTTTAAGCTGTGTGCTAGTCTTCCCCAATGAAGTAGAGGTAATATAACCAAGTGTATTACTATGAGCAAAAACAGGGTTACTTGGAATGGAAGGACCGTTTTTGGAACTGGAAAGTTCTATAGTTTTCTTTTTGAGCGCACTTACTGAAGAGTGAAGTGGAAAGGTGGAACGGAATGCTCCGGTGTTTGATCTTTCTTGAAATGGAGATGGCTTTTCTTTAGCTTTTGATGGCTGTGAGCGAGAAGCATAAATTGTGATGTTCATCATACGTAGGAGGTCCTTTCTGTTTAAAGCAACTTTAAGATTCGAGTCGACAGAAGAAAGTCTGTTGCTGTTGGTCGAGGACGTGCTCTTGTCTTCTTTATGGACAGCACTACTCGGTTTAACCGTTTTCGATAAAGTGTAATTAACAAAAGTGGACGTGTTTATTGAGTTTATTACTGTCAATCCCGTTACTGACGGAAACACGCTTCGCTCGATTAACGGCGATTTAGGGACAACCGTACGTGGTTGATTTGAAGGTCCTTGAACCTGACTTGTAATTTCCGATGATTTTTGGACACTGGTCCATGCCACTCCAGCTATAGTTTGTATAGAAGACGAAGGTGGCCTACGGTAATTTATAAGTTTGTCTGCCTTGCCAGTTATGTATTGCCTCCTTACGATTGAGGTGATGGGGGACACATTAAGACGCAATATTACTGGAGTAGAAAATACGTTCGGCGAGCCCGGTGTTAGAGAGGTAAACACTGTAGAAACATTTAAACCGCTCAACGATTTCGCCAGTTCTGTTAGACTTTGCACGGGATTTGATAACGAAATTTCATCCTTCTTTCGACTTTCTTTAACTCTTACACTTCCAAGAACGTTTGTGGGTACAATCCGAGCGTGGAAGACATTTGAAGAATCCAATGCCGGTTTTGACGTTGACACAACAACCCCTGCTGAAGAGATAAGTTTTTGTTGCGCTGAGGAGACCATGGATAAATTTTGTTCATAATTTGATGCACTCTGCAAATCGGAGACGAGGATTTGCGACGAGGCTACTACTTGGGACAGAGTCCTTTCCACATTTACACTACTGAGATCTGCATCATTTCTGTTGTGAATAGGTGGGAAGTTCGGCAGTTTTAGTGTAGGAGCTATCGTTGCAGGAACGCTTCTAAGTAACCCAGAACTGGCTTGCAAAAGAGGAATGGGAATGGAACTTTGCGATTCCATTTTGACTGTTGATTTGAGCCTTGAACTATGCCCTCTTACCAAAGAGCTTTCAATGCTTCTACCACTGTTTACGTGCTCCAAGTGAGATCTTCGAACAGTTGGTACATCGTCTTTAGTTGTAGCATTCACATCGACCATACCATCACCAGCATATTTTTTCAAGAGCTCTTTTGGAATCATTTTGAAGAAATAAGCTACTTCACTCTTACTCCTGGCCACATAAACCACAGTCGGTTTATAGAACTCTGACTTTGCTTCGACAGTTTGGCAGTCAAATTCATTGGAACATGACACCAGGTGACATCTGGATCCTAACATAAAGATTGCGTTACAGGCACTGGCATTGCAGCATAACGTAACGCATTCGTCAACACTGGTTACTTTACCAACTGATTTGAAATCTCCGGCTTGTTTTCCAAACTTAAGACGTGCGTCACGCAGCACGGGACTTCGAATGCACGAGCCTGTACGGACGCCCAGATCTGCCATCGGTGGTACTTTGTTTTCCATCACTTTATCTGTTTTAGTTTTACTCACATTGAGATCTTTCAACTTCGATGTCTCAGTGTGACTAATAAGCTGTTTTATAAGTTCTGCTTCGTCCGTATTGCGCGCTACATAGGCAACCTTTGTGTTGCCACCCCTTTCTTTATCAGGAATTGCCTCGCAACGTACCTTGTTAGTACATGCCACGATATAACACTCCTCGTTAATTAGAAGCGCGACATTACATTCCAGTGTCTTGCAGCACAAGTCGACGCACTGTTCCATCCCTTCAACTAGGCCTTCGTTTTTGACGTCTCCGGCCGTCAGACCACCACGCAAAGTGGAGTTATTAAAAACAAACGTGTGGGTACAGGCGTAGGATCTTTTTCTGTTTGAGTTACTTAAATCCTTTAGAAGACTGTAGTCGCTTTTAAAGGAATATGATTCACTTTTTCCCGTTAATACGTCATTTCCATTCTTGTTGGTCACGGGACTCGAGACGAGAGCAGTGTCAAGCTTAGTTCTTGTTTCATTCAATGACCTCACATAACTGGGTGATTGTCTTAATGAGCTATCGACTTTTCTTGCGTCGGATAACGAAGGCTTTATTATGACACTATACGGCAACGACACCAATGTTGGCGTTACAGGGCCCACGCTGCTGAAGGAATTTCCACCGTCTGAGCCATTTACTACACTTTTGGCGATGCTTGAAGACGTTTGACTGGCGCCATCAGTTGAGCTGGGATACAAATTGACACTCGACCACTTGTTGGGCGACGACGCACTGTAAATAAGTCCGCCTTGCTCCGGTAATGTAACTGATGGAATTTCGTGTTTCTTAGCGTTAGAATTTGAAACACGTCTATGAAGACCTTCACTACTTTTTTGATGCCGTGCTTGTGTAGGCTGGATGGATTGAGAACCAGTGAAGTGAAGGAACAGATCAGACGTTTCAATGTTCCTTGTGGTACTTAATGAGGGTTCCACATTCAATGTTTTGTTTCGGGTAATTTTAGCGTTTCGAACATCTTTCATGAAAATAGAGCGATTTACGTGCTCTTTGGACGCAGTCAACAAAGTTATTTGCGCTTTCTTAAACGGAGGCATAATATGTCCCAAGTTCTTTCTTACAGCAACAAATTTGTTTATCATAAATGCCTTTTTCGTTCCTATAAAGTGGCAACCATTCTTCTTAAAACATATCAGATTGTAGCAATACCGGTCAATGAACATAGCAGCACCGCATCCATGATAATCACAGCACGCCTCAGTGCATTTTGTCATGTCTGTAATGTCAGGAAGTCGAAGAAACTTTCCAGACCGCCATCCCCCTGTTAAATTAACGTTCTGTTGTTCATCAGTAATATCACAGTGCCCTCTCAAGATGCTCCTTGTAAAATTATTTATTTCACCCAGCTTTTCGTTACCAGTAGTGCGGTTTGTACTTTTATTATGTGTCCGATTCACAAAAGCGATGGATGTAATAAGGTTCGTCTTCCTCGCTGGCGTTGTTTTGCAATCTTCCTTGGTGGCGCATGAGACGGAGTAGCATTTCTTTCCAATCATAAAAGCAGCATTACACGAGGACATTCTACAACACTCCTGCAAGCAATGGTTCATATCAGTCACTTTATTATGTGCTGTAAAAGTTCCGGCTTTAATGCCTCTTTTAAATGTGAGCCCATTTTGGGCGTGTCCGACTTGGGCACAGTTTCCGTGACTTATGGCAAGAGGTTTGAAGCTTTGAAAATAACTTGTGTTTCGCAAAGCCATAAACGTTTTGAACTGCGTTAATCTTGCAGTTACTGGAAGGCAGCGTCTTTTGTTTTTTGCACACTTAACAGAGTAACAATTATTTTGGACCATGAAGGCAACATCGCAGTTCTTCGAGTGACAGCACTTTTCAATGCAAAGAGAGAACTCGTCGACAAATCCATGATCCGTGAAGTTTCCAGCGTTCATCCCTCCATTGAATGTAACATCTTTGAGGATACTTTTATAGAGAGAACACTGTTGCTCAACTTTGACAGTAGATCTCCTAGGCTCTTGTGTCTTTGAAAGAGTCTTGCGGAAGTAGACAATGGATGTGTTGACCTTGCGTGACTTTGACGGAACTGCGTGACAGGCCTTTTCACTGACACAATCAATTGTAAAGCAGTTGTTGAGGATCATAAAAGCCGCGTCACATACCTTCTTTGAGCAGCAAATGTTCGAGCAAGCCTGGATACTGTCTACAGTGCCATAATCAGTGTAGTTTCCCGCGCTCATTCCGGCCACGAACGTCATGTTCTTCAAAACAGTAATGTTCTTAGCACAATTCCTGATTGTAAAATTGCTATCAGTTAACAGAGAGGTGGCCGTGGGATGACCATTGATGGTGTACGGTAACCGAAGCATTCTGTCCTTAAGGTACACCACACGGGTACTGATGACATTTGTGTCAAAAGGCAGCACTTCACAGGTCTTTTGACTGTAACACTGTATAGAATAGCAAGTGTGTCCAACCATGAAAGCCACGCTGCAGGTTGAATGATGATAACAGAGCTCGACACAGGTTTCCATGGACTCCACTTTCCCACGATCTGTGAAAATGCCAGCCTCCAGGCCACCACGAAATGTGACGTAGGTGAATTCCTTGCTACGTTTGACAGAGCCTGTCGTATTTTTTCCCAACCCAACTCCTGAAAAGGGTTCTAGTTTATTAACAGATGATGGAACAGATAAGGTTTTGTTATTTATACTATGACTGTCTGTAGAAGCACGGACCGTTGATAAAATTTTCGAGAAAGTCACAGTCCCGCTTATCCGCTTTTCTGCTGTATAAAGCATCTTGTAGTTTGGTGTTGTCATTAGCTCTTTTGAAAGAAGACGCTTCGGAATAAAGGCGATGGAAGGAGTATGTAAAATTGTAGAACGGATTGTGTCTCCCTGTAGGAAATCTGAGTTCAAAACAGAATGTAACATTCCAGTATATCCGACCGTAGGGCTCGCAACAATAGCCCGCATGCTCGTAGGTGTGTTTAACCCCGGAGAATTGTTTCTCCCAGAAGAGCTTGTGCCATTTGCCAAGGATCGCTTGTTTTGAATCATTGACTCTAGTTTATTAAATCTGCTTAAGAGAAGTTCTAAAAGCCTGTTGTGCTTCTTATCAGCTTTTGTCAAGACGCCAGGACGTTCTTTATGAAAAATTGCAGTGCTTGTTCCTGGACGATCTATATTAGACCTTTCAACGGCATTAATATTTGTTTGTTCGCTGCGACTCTTCAACTGCAATACACTAAGAACTGACGATATCCTTTTCAGCTTGGATGAAATAGCTTCAAGTTTTAAATTCACTTGTTTGGATATGTTATCAGTGCCACTATCTCGCGCTAAAGAATCGAAGAGAGGCAATTGCCAGTTAGTTGTATTTCTTACATGATTTTTAGTTACACGTATCACAAGTCTCTGTAAATGTCCCAACATGTCTTCAAGCCGAGAAACGGAATGGACTAAACCTGTTTCATTCTTCAGAAGCTCTCCGATGTGTCGAACAGCCAGGTGAAAAACAGGGCTCGAGACTATTCCACTCGCAAGCGCGCGAACTACCTTGTCCTTTCTTTTCACCTTATTGAGAGTTTCTTCAAGAGTCTTCGAAAGAGGCGTTAACGTAAAGTTCAGGAATTTCCCTAAAGACGCACTGAAAGAAGAAGGCTGAAGCGTATCAGAGGTTTTGCGAGCCGCGGGGCTAACGCTCTCATTTTTGAAAGTGGTTATTGATGATACATTTCCACGAGATATGCCTTGTATTTTCAGGGATACATACGGTGTCAAAGGTAAACGCAACGTTGTGCTGGACGAGTATGAAGGCACTGTAATTGGGGCTAAAATAACAGTATGTATTCTTGAAGCAATGGGTGGAACGGGAACAGTCTTGTACACTTCTGTTAAAGTGAACTCATTCACAGTCGACGGGAATGTAATTGACGTGACGTTAATTTGACGGGAGTGAACAGCTGGATCCCTTCGTCTGGAGGAATGTATTATTTTACTTTTATCTTTCAGTGACGCAAGTAGATCAGTTGTGATATTTGGTAAGACCTCTAAATCTGCCCCGAGTTGAAGTGGGACTGAACTAGCTCTCCCGTTAGAGAAAACTGTTTCTATGGCACCCGTAATATCTGATACTCCAGTCTGTAGAATAATGATGTTTGATGATACATTCGGCTTGACTGATGTGATTGTTGGGGTTGGAGTTTTAAATTTATGCCCAGGTGATCTATCCAGGTGATCTAACCGATTCAATAATGAAATACCAGGTACAGTTGCTTTTTGTGCTGCAACTGTAAACGATGGTTGTGAAATCGATGGTGACGTGATAAGAGGGACGTTCGCCCGTGCGGCTCTCGGTTCCAAAACTGACACATCCCCTGAAAAAGACGTTAATATGGCAGATGATGCTTGATCTAAAGCTGAAATTTCTGAAGACGAAGATAACATGGAAGGCTTTGTAGATGTGCCAGTTGCATGCATTGTATGCGAGGTAGTTTGTTTAAAGGACAGGAGCGTCATCATAGGGGAATTCGTCCTCGTGGCTGGCAGCTCCAGTTCCGCAATACCCCCAGTAAAACGCGTGGACTCCATCAACGTTGCTTTTCCAAACACCCAAGGTACTGATGTGGCATCATCTTGCAATGATGTTGAAAGTATCTTCAAGGGCAGTGAATAAGCGCCATTTGTAGGTATGGCTGAAAAACTGATCTGTTGCTGGGACGAGGCCCGGACCGGGCCTCTTGAGGTCTTTAATGTGCCGATGTTACTCCCTCTTGTGGTTGAAGGAACGTTTTTGCTCTCACTGTAAAAAGAAACAGCTCCCGTCCTTGCTTCGAAGGTCAACGAAGGGCTTGATACTTCTAAATTACTTTGTTCTGCTATCGAGCTCGTAGATGACATGGCAGCCAAGTAACCTAATTCATTTCCCTCCCATACATTATAGCTGTCGGCGTGCAGAAATGGAGTTGAAGAGTGTGTCTTTGTGATCAGTATTTCTGAAGAACTAGCAAAATGTTCAATTCCTTGGTTTACAATGGGAATATCATCTCTTTCTTCTAGTACCTTAAAAGGCTCAGCTGAAGTTAAAACCGTGGCTTGCTCCAATACTGAGGTGTTAACATAAGCGAAAGGTGGCAAATTTAATTCGTTAGATGAGTAATCAGCCAAGCTAGCGAATTCCTGTTTTGCTGGTGTCGTGATGGGCACTGTAGTTGTTCTGAAAAGACCGTTCAACTGCGGACTTTGTCCAGGAGAAGACAGAATTTCTGGAAATACAATACTAACACTATTTATTTCCGAAACCTGCTGTGTTTCTTTGTGAGGCCACACTATAAAGCTTACGGCGCTGTTTGGCCTTAACAAGCCTGACGACACTTGATCTTGTGGATTCTCGGTCACTGACTTTGCTTTCTGTCCAGGAAAAGTTGCGATGGTTGAATATAACACGCTTGGGTTGCTGAAGGAGAGACTTGTTTTCTCTCTTGAAAAGTCAACTGACAAGCTATATAAATTATTGATATATGGTGGACTCCCAACAGGGACTTCTTCTATTTTCTGTTGTACTGCGGAAGACTTGGTTAACTGTGTATACTGTTCAAAGGAACTGTAAATGCCTGAATTCACTACATTGAGGGGTTTATCAAGAAGGAAAGCAGAACTATCCATCTTTTTATATGAGGCATTGGTCATACTAGACGGCTCCTCCAGTTTCGGTGTCACGATAGCGATAGGATCCCGTTCTACTTGTGTCCTTAACTGTGAACCCTCATTTGACTGAAAACTGTCGGCAGTTAAATTCACCACACCAGATCTGCTTGCTTCAAAAGGAGACGTCAACGATTGTACTTCGCTAAGAGAAACGACCGAAAACCTTGAAAACTCGACCTCTCTTGATGTTACAGCCCGATCTACATCGCTGCGCCCTTGTGACTTATAATTGCCCTGTATCTGTCCGTTGTCACTAGAGAACTTCGCGCTTGTTGAATACACTAGACTCAAGTTGTTTGCATCAGAAAAGGGGAACAACGAAATCGTCTTTGAAGGATAGACATCTGATAAGCTAGGAAGACCTTGCAGTTTTGGCGTCACGGCAGGTAAGTGACTTTTTCCCGTTTCCAATACGGAAGGAATCATCAAATGGGTACCCTGTTCGGAGAAGTTTGCCTCGGTTGACTGCATCCAATTAGATCTGTAAACCCCACTAGAGGATATTGCCTGGCCCTTGCTGAAAGAATCAGAGGGGTCGATGGGTCTTGGTGTGAAGTTAATGAAGGGGATTTGATCCCGCTCAACCTCCACTATATTAGACCTTGCTGACGGCGTAGCCTGCTCAGAAGTTGTAATTCTGGTGGTTTCCCTAGTTTTAACGTGTGTAATCAGTAAAGGTGAAGGTTCAATCATAGAAACCGGTCCCCACGTAGAGCCACTCTGGTCAAGTCCTAAAAATTCCAAATCAGAGGATGTTGCCTTGTTTATACTGAAAGAATCAGGGGGCTCGATTGATCTCGGTGTGATGTTGATGAAGGGGATTTGATCCCGCTCAACTTCCACTATATTAGACCTTGCTGACAGTGCAGTCTGCTCAGAAGTTGTAATTCTGGTGGTCTCCCTAGAGTCAATATGCGTACTTAGTAAAGGTGAAGCTTCAATCACAGAAACTGGTCTCCACGTAGAGCCTCCCTGGTAAAGTCCTAAAAACTCCAAATCAGAGGATGCTGCATTGCCCATGCTGAAAGAATCAGGAGGCTCGATTGGTCTTGGTGTGATGTTGATGAAGGGGATTTGATCCCGCTCAACTTCCATTTTAGAAGACCTTGTTGACGGCGCAGTCTGCTCAGAAGTTGTAATTCTGGTGGTTTCCCTAGAGTCGAAATGCGTCCTTAGTAAAGGTGAAGGTTCAGTCGCAGAAACCGGTCTCCACGTAGAGCCACCCTGGTTAAGTCCGGAAACCTCCAAATCAGAGGATGTTGCATTGCCCATGCTGAAAGAATCAGGAGGCTCGATTGGTCTTGGTGTGATGTTTATGAAGGGGATTTGATCCCGCTCAACTTCCATTTTAGAAGACCTTGTTGACGGCGAACTCTGCTCAGAAGAAGTTGTCATTCTGGCGGTTTCTCTAGTGTCAACGTACGCACTCAATAAAGGTGAAGGTTCGATGACAGAAGACGATCTCCAAGTAGAACCATCCTGGTGAAGTCCTGAAAACTCCAAAAAAATGTAACTACTTTTAAATGTCAGGCTACTAGACGATGGCATGATGGTTTTGGTGGGTTGGATAACTAACGTTTCTGAGGACGGCAACAAATCTCTACTAAGATCACTGGCAGCTGTTAGAGAACTGTCAATTTTTATGGATTCCGCTATTGTAATAGGTAACACTTCTGAACTGTAAAGTTTTACGGCAGCTACCATCAAACCTGGTGTTCTCTTGTCTCCTTCTTCCCATTCTGTGGAAAATGACTGACTATACATGTCTTCCTCTGGTAATTTAGTAGCAGTTGTTCCAGATTCAAAGCGAGGTACAGGAATAGACATGGAAAGCAACGGGGAGGGAAAGGCATCTGTTCCATGGGGTGTTGCCCTAACTGACTGTACATCTGTCAATTCTACCAGGGTAGGAAATTCTGTTCCAGAGAAATCAGACCAAATCGACATTTCATTTGCATAGCTTTGAATCTTGGCAGACGGTATCATTAGCGTTTCAGGAGTAATGTCTAGTATTCCTTGTGATGTATGCTTCCTTTTCGCAAGATGAAGCTCTACTGGCGAAGATATGAGTTCGTGTTTAAGCATCGTACTATCTAAAGTGGGGGTGCGTTCAATGAGGTTATCGTCCGAAGCGTGCGACTGTTTTGTAAACTTCAGAGTTTCAAATCTCGCATAGGGGTCTGATATTGACGACTTCAGGTCACGGGATAAAACGAAGCTTGGTTCCACGCCGTATGGCTGCACTGTTGCCGAATTTGGAATAAGGAAAGAAGTGGGTAGCTCGAATGTTGACATTAGTCCGAGGTTACCAGAGTCTGTAATAAACGTCTCCTTTGTAGTAGATACGAAGCTGGGTGTTGGCTCTAGCTGAGCCACAGGTGTCATTAGGTCTTGAGAATCTCGTGAAGTCGTGCTTAATGATACTCCCGTGCGTTGAAGAGCTTCTGATTGCAAAGGAAAGCTGACAGGCGTACTTGTTAATTCAACACGGTTATTGGACAAAATCGTGTTTGAAGCAATGCCAAAAATTCCCTGCAAATGTCTAGAGCTTCCCGCGGGCAACTGTAAACTTGAAGGTACGCTCTGGGAATTGGAGAAGGCCGGGGTCTCAAGAGTAATCACAGAGATCTCTGTGTTCTGTGAAATTTGGAAAAGAAGCTTCGCTTTCCTGACAGCCATGTTAGAGTCCGCGTATGCAAATGTGGATGATCGTCCAAGGTGTGATCTGGAATCGTTCAAGGTCAATAAGGGATGCGACATCAAGACGTATTGTGGTGTCGTCTCGTTAGCAAATATGTCCGTCTCCGTTTCATTTGAGACGAGCACAGTATCATTTGAGGTCATCTCCTCATCAGCTTTGCTATCATTTGCTATATCAACAAACCCACCAACGTTTGAATTGACGTTTTCAACTCTGACGGAGCTGACCGGAAAGAACCTACCCATAGTGAAGGTCGCTGTTTCCGTGTCTCTGTTTCCGGAAGCTTTAAGGTGAAGTCTTTTGGAAGCTGAATCTGAATGGTCCTTGTGGGGCTTGGGGTCAACTAAAAAACAAAAATAAAGAATGAATCAATCAATTAAAAAAAAAAAACATATTCTAGATCAATTATACATGCTTCATGAGAAGCAAAAGTCCATGGACGTGGTTTTAAAGTCTTCTTTTTACCATAACCACAGTTACATGTGCAGTCCTGCCAAAAATTTTTCTTTTTAAAAAGGACGCATGTTCGACGACGTAACCGTTTTTGTTGCACAAACCGCAAAAGTCGTCGGACACACATAAGGGACTTTAAGAACCAACGAAAAAAATATAGTTTTAACAATCCAAGCAACAACTTCGCACGCGCATCACATTTTTTTGTACATTTCTTTGCCGTTTGTGCATGACTACAACGTGAAAATGCCTAATTTCGCGTTTCCTGGAGAACGCAAACAAACAACGACGAAATTTTATTTCTCTCTCTGAACTTGGATATGGTCCCTTGGAATTCAACTTCAGAAGGGTTTGGTTACACTTGACAAAAAAAATAGGTACAAATAATCGCAATAAAGACGGCAAGAAGGTAAATTCACTCTTTAATCGACGTTGTCGTTACCGTCGCGTCGTTGGATCTAAAAGTCCCTATTATGTTACTGTTGACGTGTCACTACCCAGATCTAGGAGGTGCCTCTGATCGAAATTTACCCAGATCTAGGTAGTGACACATCATCAGTATTGAATTTCTACTTTCGTTCCTCAGACGTCATTTCGCAGGGAAACCAGTGGTTGCGTCGCGAAATGTCGGCTGTTTTCTAAGGCTACTTTATCGTCGGGATACTTCTTTAATCTTCCCTCAGGAGAGGTGACAGCTTCCCTTTAACAGAGAAAAAGTTAAAGTAAGAGTAGTTTTCTTACCAATATGTCGACGGGAACCATGTTTTATCTTGTACGCTATCTGTGGATGGTATTCTGAGGGGTGTGACGGGATCGCGTCACACAGTTTCTCATTGTGACAGGACACTAAGAAGCAGTTGTCTTTCAACATGAGAGCCACGTCACACACTTTATGCCTGCAGCATTCTTGGATGCAAGTAGCCATGTCGTCAACTTCTATCAAGTACTTGAACTTTCCAGAATGCGATCCACCACGTAAAACAACCTCATGAAGCGCCGGGCTAAAATCGCAAGCTTTAGAGACGGAGTGTTCTGAAATATTTTCTGGATTAATCAAATCTTTTACCACAGCTACAGATTGGGAGGAATTTGTCAGGAGCATCTCAGGGCATTTATTGTTACCAAAACAGTTCAACGAATAGCATTTGCCATTATCTTGCAAAGCAACCTCACAGCCGCTCGTTTGACAACAAAGCTTTGCACATTCACCCAAATCATGCGACGAGGAATGCGCAAAGATAGATCCATCTTGAACTTTGTACTTTGAATCAATGATATCGTCCAAAACGCAGCGGAGTCTGTTACTATTCACGCCTTTGAATGCATCTGATGATGCACTATCAAAATGACGAATTCGTGCCATTCGCGGATGGTACTTATTTGCAGAGTGCGCCGTTACACTCATGCACTTCTTATCGCTGAAGCATTGCACCGCGTAACATACCTTAGCAACCATAAAGGCAATATTGCAGCCTGGCATATTGCAGCATTCTGAGACGCATTCTTTCACGCTTGTTGCATTATCTAATCTTGAAAATACACCAGCATAATATCCTCCTTTTAACGTTACACCACTTAGAACTGTTGTGCTGTTGCAAAGATTCCGATCTTTGCCAAATTGTCCAAGTGGAGGTCTTTTTGCAACATTCTTTGAAGCAAACGGATACGTTTGGCTGCTAAAAATTGGTAATACTACTTGGAAGCTCGAAATCTGAGAATGACCAACGTGAACAACCTGCGACGATGTGGAGTTGGTTAAAGTGCTAATATTAGGTGATGTTATGATGAAGTTTGCCTCTGTTAAACGGTTGTCCTCTTCAGCATGTGTCTTTTCTTGAAGTGTGTCCTCCGTCGGATCTAGTTTTGCAATAAAAGACTTAACATTAACTGGTGATTTGTCTGGTGAACTCGAACTGGGAAATGATGCATCTTTTACCAGGCTGTTTGTTAAACTGGTATTATCGACACTGATGTCTGGGTATACCGTTTCAAAGCGTGAAGTTGTCAAATTTTTGTCTGTCGGATTGTAGTACTGCCACCAGAATTCTGAGCCGTTGGTTTTTACCTCTACAAAGTCTAACGGAAGGGTATCTGAAGGAGGCGGGGTGTCGAGTTTAGCAGTATCATTCTGAAGTAATGTATCTGGAGCATCAGTTGGGAAGACATTGTTCGCTACGGATGAGACAGTACTTGGTGCATCAGCTGATGACATCACAAAATTACGCGACTCAGTTGGAGCCTGCGATGCTGCCGCTGATAATGCGAACTTATTCCACTGAGAAGTGGATGGAGTCACCACTGAAGTTTTTGGAAGGCGTCTTGATCTTGTTACGCTCTCTTTTTTGACGCCAGATCTTTGCACAAACACTAACCTCGGTTTGAACTTAGAACCATGGACAGCAAATGTTTTACACGTTTCGTTACTACGACAGTGTACTGAAAAGCAGTCCTGGGATATCATAAAAGCGACGTTGCAGTTAAAAGTTTCACAGCACAAATACGCGCATTCGTTTATATCGTCAGTGACTCCTAGATTAATAAATGTACCAGCTTGTCGGCCGAGTCGGAAAGATATATTGTGAAACGTTGCACCGAAAGAGCACTTCGATTGGTTGAGTGCTGTAGGAAGGCTGGCATTTCGGTTATCTTTTAAATACGTATTACCAGACATTGTCTTATTCTTCCTCTCCACAAGGGTATCAGGAATACCAATTCTTTGTTCCTCTTCATTGTAAGGCTGATTGATGTTCATACGAGAAACTTCAGTTTTTGACGGCCAATTCTGAACAAGACTGTTTCGTAGCGACTTGGCCTTTAGGTTATCTATGAGTGTCAAATTTATATATGTTATCACAGGACGAAACTTATCAACATTTCGAGCCGCAATGAAATCACATAAATCAGCATCATAACAGTCAACTAAGAAGCATCTATCCAAGACCGTGAACGATAAGTCACAGCCTTTGGCTATACAACAACTAGTCACACAATCTTGCTGCGATGAAACTATGCCAGCAAAAGTGAAACGTCCCGCTTTCAGACCACCACGAAGAGTTACATTGTAGTAGGTTTCAGTAGTAAAACAGTCTCGTGACGTCAAAGGAATGTCCGACCCACTTAGAGAGAGGTCTTCGACGTCTTCGACGTCTTCGTGAGAATCTGGATATGTTATATCGACTCCACTTGCAAAGGTGGTACTACTGCTTGTGTCAAGGTGCGAGCTTACACTCTTCTCATCTATGCCTTCTGATGCTCCACTATTTTCTACAAAGCCTCCATCCGACGGGAGTAATTCATAATAATAATCTGGTTCACCCTGAGGAAAATTGTTATGATCCAATTGGTTCAGATGCGACGTTGCCTTCAATACTGATAGTAAATATTCTTTTATTTGCCCGTCTTGCCCCTCGTGTTTACTCCCGGTACTTTCTTTTTCTTTCAACGAATGGAGGTCTTTGCCACTATGTGTCTCATTCTGGGCCAACAGTAGGTTGGTTGACTCACCTTTACTGTTATGATAATTCGGAAGTTGGATTGTGACGTTTATTTCTTGCAAGTCTTCATTCTTGCTTCTATTTTTCACGAAATATGTTTTCCTGGGCGTAAACTCTGACCCTTCATTAAAATCTATTTTAATGTTCTCATTTTCTCCTTGCTGTAAGCTGTTTAGCTCGACAGATTCACTAGCATGGGTTTTCATTGTTTTCCTGGGGCTGATCTCCGTAGTAAAAAAGTTTTCTCCAACAGTCGATATTCCTTGATTCTTAAGGTATTTCTGGTCAATATATTCCTCCTGGGGGATGACACTTGCTGTGGCAACGCCACGCTGTAATGAGGAAGTTCTTGAAGTTTTACTTGTAGAAGTGTGGTAGCTAAAGTCAGGTTTAGTTGTTATGGTAACACTACTCGACATGACAAGCTTTTCCGTGAACACGTCCTTTGAGGAAACCTGTGTAGAGTTTAACGAATTGCGAGTAGCGACATTCTCAGACAAACGTTTGTTGAACCGTCTAGTCACAAATACAGCTTTTGTAGAAAACTTGTGTTGATAATAGGGTACACTCTTACACACAGACTCATTCGCACAATTAACCGTATAGCATGACTGGTCTAGCATAAAGGCAATATCACAGACTGGATCATGGCAACAGATCTTGAGACACGCATTTATATCCAACAGTTCTCCAATATATATAAAGTGACCACTTTTCAACCCGTGTTTGAGCCCCACGTTGTAATAGACATGGGAGTGAGGGCAGGCGCTTTGGCTGTTATGAAGGTCAGGGTGTATATGTACAGCGGGTTTTGCTTTGTACATTTTTATGGGAGATTTGCTTAAGTTCACAGTTCCTCTGGTTTTCTTCTTGAGTTTTGCAGACTTTCGAGACTTTGGTTTCAGGCCCAAACTAGCTTTATCGCCCAAGAAAGTCTTCGCATACGGTGAAGTATAACTACTGGAAAAGACCTTCAATGAATGCTTCTTTAAAGCATTTTGTTTCTGTTTGTGTGTCTCAGGAGGCTTATTCTGTCCTGCCGATTCCGCAACACGGTGTGACAATGAATTACTCTGGAATGTTGCAGTCGCTCCTGTCACGCTTTCCTTTTCGCGATGGTTAAGTGAAGTCATTTTCTGTTTCTGTTGCTTTTGTAATGTTTGATTTGTTGTTGCTATACCAGAGACGCTTTCCTTGTTCTGCGCCTTTTTCATTAAATTCTCTCTTGGAAGCGATTTGTGGCGATAAGTCACGCTATCTATTTTTTTACTTGAACCCCTCCAAATTCGCACAATGCGCGGCTGGTACTTCTTAGCATGCTTTGCACGCACGCTGCGACACAGTTTCTTGTGATAGCAAATAACTGAATAGCAGTCCTCCTTAACCATGAATGCCAAATCACATTCTTGATTTGCACAACACTTTTTGATGCACGCTTGCATATTGTCAACTTTGCCGTGACCGACAAAATGACCCGCCCGAATGCCACCCAGGAGAGTAACACCGTCGTATGAGGGACCATGACTACACAATGAGATCATTTTAATCACTGGGGTCACGACTTGCAGGTCGGACAACTTTGAACTCGGAATTTTTGTTTTCTCAGTTGTGGTGGTTTTCTTCCGTTTTGAACTCGTAACTGCCTTGAGGACTTTTTCCCCTCTAGAAAGAATTCTCTCACCAGCAAATATGAGACGCCGCCCGATTTTAACCGCATTTCGGTCTCTTTCGCTTTGTGTCTCGCTCTTGATGTGAACCTGTATCATTCTCGTACCAGTTTCGATGGTGGCTTTTCCAATGTCGATTAGGTACCTTGAGATGTCAAGAGCTCGTTTTCTGTAAATCAGTGACAAATTAAGCAAAGTATCTAATCGATCAAATTCGTGAAGGAAAAAGACGGCTGACTTCTCTGTAACATTCATCGATTTGTCCCCACTAGACATTTGGTATACATTGTAAGGAAACTTCGAAGATTCGTAATTGTCCTGGGTCTTGTTTCGGCTTCTCTCCTTCAATTCGTTCTTCTGCTTTTCCCCGTGTTTGTTAGCCAATATGTTGTCCCCAGCCTCTCCCTCATTCGCTCCGGGAGGAGCCTGGTGCTGGTGTAGCGTAACATTGTAAGAGACTGCTCCCGGAGGACGACGAGAAGAGTTGGGTTTTATGGATGGAAGTTGGATGGCCACATCCGAAAAAACTGTAGGAATAAGATAAAACCAAGCAAATGGTTGCTAACGTGATCATGAAATCAGAGACATTAAAAAGTATATCGCCTTAAAATATTTCCCGATTTTTTGTCGCATAAATTAGAAGTCAAACGACATGTTTTGCCCCGGTAATGGTACATGAGCGAAAAACCATAACTGTTATATAGCTGAAATATTTTCCCAACAGCTCGCCCTCTTATTGGTTACTTCGAGGTCACATGATATCTATAAATAAAAAACGATTCTTCTTTAAAATCGCAGGCGGGTAACATTGCAAAATCCATGACTTCAGATGGTGAGAGCCGTAGCGTACTCTGACCTCCTCTGGAAACTTGTTAATTTTGTTTCACCAGAATCAAAATATTTCTCTCGGCGGCTCAGCCTCGGGAGACTTTGAGGAAACAAGATTAACTGTTTTTCGCGGGATTAGACGCTGGTTACCTCAGGGATCTTTTCATTTTCTTTATACGTACTTACCTTTTCGCCTGATGACATGAGCTATGCTGGGTTTGAAGTCAAGAGGCTTCACTGGAACAGTCTGGCAAAACCTGCCGACACAGGCTACGGAGTAGCAGTTATGTTCTAGCATTAACGCCATCTTACAGGTCACATTCTTGCAGCATACTCGAAGGCATTCGTTCATATCCTTGACTTTACCATGATCGGTAAAATTTCCCGCCTTTCGGCCATACAGCAGGGAGTAGTTGTGATACACGCGACTATATTGGCACGCGGGTAGTGTGAGGGCAGGGCCATGAGCTTCACTTCTCGCCATTGGACGTTTCGCACCTAGTAAAATAGAATTCAACACAATGGCTAAAAGTCAAATACAGTTAGGCTGATCTGTAGACTGGCGCCAAGTTGTTTTACCTTCATAGGGACGAAGAGAAACTACTCAAATTTTCGTTCAGCTTAAAATTTGCGTGGCAACAAGTCCCCGAAGACGCACTGGCAATACATTTCAGCTAACGGAGATAAAGGTTTTTTTTCTTTATAATCTCGACCGATTAAGCTTATAATCTTTAGAAAACCTTAATTTGACAACATAGGGGGCTATGGCGTCATTTAACTTCACCGTCGTGGAATTACTTGAAATTGTATCCCGGAAACTTTCATTTCTCTTTTTTGAAATTTCAAAAAGTGTGCCTTCTTTTATTCGGATATAATTTGGGCAGTTTTAACTTTAGAGAGATCTCGAAAAAGAAGACACTATTTGCTCACCCTGATGATTTTTCTACGCCTTAAACAAACAAAGTAGTCCCTATACGGTTTAAACATCAATCGCTATACTTTACAAAGGAAACAAAAAAGTAATGGGTTGTAGTTAAAAAAAACCCACATAGAAGGATTTGGGTAATTTAAGTAGAATTCCTAATTGCTTAAAAAGCCAAGAAACCACAGACAATAGTCTCTTAATACATGTTTTTGGTGGCGTTTTGCGCCATTTGGTGGCTTAAGGCTGGACAAATACCGAACTGTTAGTTCTTTGAACGGCTTCAAAAGCTTTTTTTGTGGATCTCGTCTGTCTGATAGTAATCTTTAAGTTTTGGATTTTTCGTTTCGGCCAAGCCAAAACAAGCTAAAAGCTTTACAAGAAATCATCGAAAACATTAATTATTTTGTATTGCCCAAATGAGCTATTCACAAATTTTTGAACGGCTTAATAACCAAAATAAGAGTAAGTTTTTAAGTTTTTTGGCAAACTGAATTGACTTTTTGGTTTTCCCTGTAAAATGTTACTGCGGCTACTCTTACCATATTCATCAAATACAATATCCAGGAAATAGCCGGAACAAATTACCTAAACCTCATTTGTAATTCATGAGGAAAAATATGAAAGGAAATGACTGCTACTACTTAAACGATCCTAACTACTATAAGAATTTGAATTTTGCAGGAATTAATAATCATTTGAAAGGTTTATCAAATAGCCGAAAAATTGTTCTTTCTGATATTTATCACCACTGCATTTAAAAAAAAAAAAAAAAAAAAAAAACGCCAAAAAAAAGAAAAGAAAAAACTTCCAATTAAAAAAAAAATCAAAACTACAAAAGAATTGTAAATTTTAAGAAAATAAAAAATATTTGAAAAGTTTTAAAAAAAACCAAAAAAATTTTTTTTTCGAAATTTAACCCCACCGAAATTAAAAAAAAAAAAAAAAAAAAAAACCGGCTCCCTCACAGTTGTTCAACCAACTTCGTGGGACTGGATATCAAAGAAAATAATCCTTCTTGCGTTTGATATGCTTATTCCCTTTACGCCTTAGGAAGAAAATACAAGAACCAGAAAAATGACCACGCCTGGCAAATGACCGGAATGGAGTTTTAAAGGCCTGTTACGATAACAAATTAGACAAATTCTTTGTTACGGCCATTCGAAAAATACCTTTTCAGGCAACCCGTCCACAAAATATACAACCTATTTTCGAGCACTCGACAATTTTAAATTAAGAGATTTCCCCGCATTTTGTATTTTGACGCTATTGGGAGTTTAAAAGCGTGTCGTACGGCGAGGATTTACCTTCTTTGTCCAGTTTAACACTCTGCGTTTGTCTCATAAAGGAAAGTGAAGATGGGCTCGGAGAAACTGGACGCCTTCTGAGTCCAGTCAAATCCTCCAACATCGTCGCCAGCTCCTGTTGACGAGACGCGATTGTCGAGGGCATCGGGGAATAACTAACTTGTTGCCTTGACTTGATGACCTTCTGGGATGACAGTTCATATAAACCTGATTGTTCTGAGGAGTCACCTGCATCGGGCAGAGAGGGTACAGATGTGGGCACCACAGTTCTTGAAGACTTCTCAGGTGACAGGTGTTCTGGGGCGACAAGGGACGATGGCGATACAAATGTGCTTGACGTGGACTGCGCCGTGGTATTAAAGGCTTTCTTTGTCCAGGAGTTACTAACCATTTCATCTTTGAACGTGTTGGATTCATCACGGTGGTTTTTCCAATTTCCTGAGTAATAAAACAAGCAAAAAATTTCTGTCTGGACTTAAATTAACGATCAGACTTACCGTGTAATAAGAAACGGCAATAAATGTTTTCCAACGATGTTTTAGAACGCTTCGTACTTAAGAAAATTATGTGTCAACCGGGAACGGACTTGTAAAAGTGCAGATTCTCTTAAACAAGTGATTTCTACCCTATACTTCATTGATTCTTATTCCAGATATGGTTCCGCGATACAACGCGGCCAATATAAGTAGGCGTTTAAGAATTAGAACGAAGGTGGCATCAGGTTTCACATATCCGTTGATCCAATGACAGGTTAAAAGCAGGTTAACTATCTACATGATTTACCTATAGCGAATATCGAAAGTATTAAAGGTTTTAGTTACAACCGCAGTAACTAGCCATCAAACAAAGATTGGAAAGAAAACTAATAAACTATACACAATAATAATAACATCGCTGGCAGAAGGGAATTTAAGGGAACTAAGTCAAATTAAGATATAAGAACGCCGCAAAATGAACATGAAACGGTGAGGCAACTGGTTGAACCTTTCATTTACTTTTCACGGTAATGATATTTGACGCTTTGCTCGACATGGTGAAATTAAAAGGACAATTATTATACAGTAATTAGTCAAAAGACGAACGTCGATACACCAGAACTA